TTCCACTGAGGCCGGCAGGAATGGCATTGCTGTGGCAGGCAGAGCCCTGGTCTCCCCAAGCCCACAGCTGTGCGTGGGGGCCCTCTCGGCCAAAAGCATATTTTACCTATGGGGAAACTGAGGCCCAGTTTGGGAGAAGTGAGGTTGACCCTCAGGGCAGAGCAGGTGCTTGGGATAGAGTGGGTGACGTGATTGCTTACGAGTACAATTCTTCGGTTGGTGGAGTCTGGTCGTCAAAATACAGTAATGCACTTCTAAGGGGATTGCTGTACCAATGGTAATAGAAAGTATTTGAAAAATATATGTACCACATAGAAAGTTCTTTGGGGTTGAAGGAGCTGCTTCCGAGACACAGACCCCAGGTAGTTGTCGTGGTTGTCGTGGTTGTTAGTTGCCATTGAATCGGCCCCGGACTCATGGAGATCCTGCACACAACAGAGCGAAATGCTGCCTAGTCCTGTGCCATCTCCGAGACTGCTTGCAGATCAGACGGTTGTAATCCATAGGATTTTCGTTGGCTGGCTTTTGGAAGTAGATTGCCAGGCCTTTCTTCCTAGTCTGTCTTAGTCTGGAAGCTTTGCTGAAACCGCTTCAGCATCATAGCAACACACAAGTCTCCACTGACAGATGGGTAGTCGCTGCTCACAAGGTACAGTGAACGGGAACTGAACTCGGGTCTCCCACACAGAAGATGAGAATTCTGCCATTGAACCACCAATGGCCCTTTGAACCCAGACAGACACAAAAGGAAATCAGCTCTATGCTCATGTAGGTCCCTTTTTCCTTTAAGGGTGAACTAATATCTGAGCAGGTACAGATAGGAGTGACAGTGGATGCCAGGAAGAACTTCTCCCCCTTCCCGCACCAAGTTTCTCCCTGAAGACCCAGAACCCGCCTCCAAACTTGAGCAGAGCACAGAGGACTCCTAGAGGCCATCCATGCAGCCACCCCATTTTACAGACGGGAAAGGAAGTCCAGAGCGGGCAAGGACTTGCTCAAAGTCACGCAATGCATGGGACACCTCAGAGGAACTCAAGGCAGGGCTTCTGTGCTCAAGGCTGGCACCGTGCCATTATGACACATGGCTTCTGTGGGCCATGGTGGCCTGGGGTGGACCATTGCCATGATCAGACAAGAGAAGTCCAGGCTGACCCTGACCCTTTCGGCCTGAGCGTGTGAAAGGGGGCAAAGTCATCAACCAATTGGCTATCTGGACTCATAGGTACCATGGCTTTGGAGGAGTCACCCCGAGTCTTTCTCCTTGAGAAGCCAGCTGTTGTAGCTTTAAGAGGAAAACTCATTCGCCAGCTGTTCTATTTCTGCCCACAGCTTGCACCCCCAAGCTGAGGTCATCAGTCTCCCCATTAGGGTAATGGGAGGAAGCGGAATGCCCCAAGAACCAGGCGTTCACTGATCCCCCCTGAGGGACCCACAGCATCCAGGCAGGCCCTGGAAGGCGAGACCAGCTGGGTCCCTGGGGCCCTGAGGTGTTCTCTTCTTTTTTAAGGTTTTGCTGGCTCAGACCTGGTGGGCAGGTATAAAAGGGAATAGCCAGACTCAGAGAGGAACCCAGGCTCTCCCAGTGTGGTCTCAGGTAGGTACCACAGGGGATGCTGGGGAAGGTGGAAACGGGGAGGGAGTATAGAGAGGAGACGGTGGTGCTTGCTATAGAGGAGACTTGGCAGCACCACCAGGGAAAGCGGGCGTTATAATGAGGGATTAGTGAGGGGAGCTAGGGGCAAGTGTTTCTAGAGCACCTGCCTGCCCCAGGTACACAGGTGGCATTCCATTCAATCCTCCAAGTTCATGCCCACCGTACAGGTGAGGAGACAGGTCCAGAGAACTGCCAGGACTTGCATGGCATTCCACCGTGAGATAGGAGCAGTCAGGATTCGAACGCAGATCCAGCCTTCACATTCCAAATGCTGAATTGTTTGCATGTTTTGTGGCTCATGATTTTTAAAAAATGGTCTTGGTTATCAGAAATGCCTGGGAAGGGCTGTTGTTAGGGGAGACAGGAGTGGTTTGGATGCTGGGGGGCCTGGGAGGTGGGGTCATCACCGGCTGGGTCGCTGAGAGGCTTGCACCGCTCTTGTGGGCAGCACCTGGCCGGAGGGGTCTGTGTCCTGGGTCACCAGGACAGGACACCATTGGGGACCCCTTAACTTGTGGTTCACACAGAAGCCCCGTTTAAAAAAAAAAAAATCCTAATTGGAATAAACAAAGGAGAATATCTTGCCTCCACCTCCCCATTAAAACTATTAAAAAGGAACACAGCCCTCTGATGTGGGCAGTTGTTTTAATGACAAGTCTAATGAATTTTAAAATGACTTTGCCGGGACCTGCATTTCCTTTTTATGTGGATTTTGGTCTCCTCTCCCTGGTGACTTCCACCTATGTTAAAGCAGAACCAGGAAAATGAGGCGTAAAAAGATACTGAAATTGAGCCGTCAGGGGAAATAAATGATAAAAGGAAGCTTCTAGAGTGATCTGTAGCTTCCAGAAAGGGGAGAAGGTGGTCCAAAGAGGTGACTGAGCGATCGAAGTGACAGAGCTAAGTGAGATCTACATCTCCTGGATGCCCAGTGAAGACGCAATCTGCAGAAGTGGAGGACTCCCGGCCCAGTGCTCCTCCACGATAATGGGATACAGGAGGGATTAGGCAGGTGTCCTTAACCTGGAACTAACCGTTTGCTGTAGAGCTGATTCCAACTCATGGCAACCCTGTGTGTGTCAGCATAGAACTGTGCTCCATAGGGTTTTCAATGGATGATTTTTTTGGAAGTAGATCACCAGGCCTTTCTTCTGAGGCACCTGTGGGTGAACTTGAACCTCCAACCTTTCAGTTAGCAGCCAAGCGCATTAACCGTTTGAAAATACTGGCAGTGCTTTTTAATCTGTGCCTGCATTAAAAAGGGGAGGAGATGATAAGTTTCAGTCAAAGATAGTAAAAATCATGATGAAATTGTTTTCCCATTCGGGTTAAGAAACAGTACCAAATCAGTAGTACCCGAGACTTGTGTCAGTGATGGAAACCCCCAATATTTTCACATCATATTACAACTGTTGCAGATATCTCAAAATATTGTTAGTTCTCACTCTTGCTTCAAAACCACAGTAGTTATTAGACTTGCTGCTAGATTGTTATTTAATGTGCTAGTGAAGAAGCACGTACATTCCCATATCATGCATTTTTAATTTTTTCATAATTTTCCTTTAATATCATCGGTTTCCCTGGTAATCCTTGTGTTCTATTACCTAAATTTAAAATGGTTTTTTCCAATGAGACTACGGGCAACACAAGACTGCCAAAGGGGTCTGCGGTCCAAGAAGGCACAGGCCCCGCCCTCCTCCTCTTATTCTTGTTTTCTGTGCCATGGCCCAGATTTGGGGGTGGGGAACCCAGGCTCTAACCAGAACGCTCTATGCCGGACCCTAAAGGGAGATGGCAACTTGAGGGGCAAGGTCAGGCTTTGCCTCCCCCACTTGCCTGTTTTAGCTCAGCCTCTTTCAGAAACACGAGGGGCCTTGGCAGCAGACACTGGAGAAGATCCCTGAGGGCGGTAGGGTATAGCAGGGGCCCAGGGCACAGTCAGGAGACCCTTGATCCACAGATGACTTATTTAAAGATGGAAACTGTACTCTTGATCTTGAGAACAGTATCTCTGGCAAAGGGGCTCAGAGCCATACCCTTCCCAAGCTTTCCAGAAGGTTCTTCACCCCCAAGGCAAATCGGGAGGCTCCTGACCTCTCTTTACTCCTTTGAGTCCCTAGTTCCCCACCTTCCTGATGGTTCAGTGAACCTGTCTGGGTGTGGAAGCAGAGTCCTAGGCTTGACCCCATAGTGGCCTCATTTTAGGAGAAGTAATCATTTACCCCAGGCTGTCATTTTATATAAGGGGCCCATTTGGCATCTGGCAAAGCCTGTGGACTCCTGCTCAGATTAGTGTTTTTAAATATATAAAATGAAATACAGAGGGTTGCAAAGGAAACCAATGGTACTGAAATACTATTATCAAAATATTAAAAAAACAATTTGCAATAGAGTAGTAATTTGTGTACTTCTTAATTAACACAATCTAACTGAGGGCCTAATAGGACCATACTTTCAAAGTTGAGATGAGAGTAAATAATATTTTGAGATGTCTGTGACTGCTTTGGAGCCCTGGTAAGAGCCACGGCTGCTAACCAAACGGTCGACAGTTCGAATCCACCAACTTCTCCTTGGAAACCCCATGGGGCAGTTCTACTCTGTAGGGTCGCTATGAGTCAGAATCGACTCGATGGCAATGGGTTTGGTTTGCTTTTTTTTTTTTTTTTGGCAACTACTTTAAAATGATAGGACAAGAGCTACAATTTCTATTGGAGATAAGCCACAGGCACTGTGGTACTGCTATGATTTGCCAGCTCCATTCATACCTGAAAGGAAGTAAAAACCAAGAGGTAATTGTTTTCCTGACCAATTTCATAAACAGTGGTTAAGAAACTAGGGCTCTGGTGGTGCAGTGGTTAGGTGTTTGGCTGCTAACCAAAAAGATCAGCAGTTCAAATCTACCAGCTGCTCCTTGTAAACCCTATGGGGCAGTTCTACTCTGTCCTATAGAGTCGCTATGAATCAGAATTGACTTGACGGCAACGGGTTTTTTGACGGATTGGTTAAAAAATCTTTCTTTAACCTCTCATGATCCTAGTCTTCTCCTCCACTGACTGGGCTTCCCGATCCCTACCTCACAGTCTTAGTGTGAGGAATATATGAGATGGCGGACATAGCACACAACTGGGAGGAGTTATTAGCTTATTTCTTGTTCTTGGTTATTACAACCTAAAAGCACCAAGACATCCAATGTAACATGAGAGAAGCAACCCCTGTTGAGCTCGGGGCATTTGCTGCAGCCTGTCCCCCACCCTCAGCACCCAGTCTTTGCTTTCCCTTACAGCACCAAGGGAAGTCCTGGTTCCTGTCCTCGGTTCCTGCCTGCTCTGCCCTCAGCTAAGCCGCAATGCCTGGTGCACAAAAAGGGGAATGTTTGGAAGATGTGGACCCAATGCCCTGCTTGGCTCCTCTCGAGAAGGAGAGGATTGAAGCCATGAACAAGCCCTACGACATCAAGAGGTCCTGCTTGGTCAAAGACGAGAAGGAGGACTTCATTGCTGGGGAGATCCAGTCTGAACAGGGCGACCAGGTCACTGTAAAGACGGTCACCAACCAGGTAAGTGGGCGGTAATCTCCAGGATGAAACTGAGCTTTGGGAGAGGCAGGCAGCCAGCCTTGACTGGACACACTTCTGCTCAAGAGGCAGGGTGGACAAAAGAGCAGAAACCCCCAAGTGAGTCACGCATGCTGGGTTCAAGTCCAGACTCGACTACACTCAAGCAAGATGCTTCCCTTCTCCAAGCTTTGGCTCCATTCCAGTAGAGATGACCGTGAGAGAGGACATATGATGCACTTTGTCAATTCCACAACCAGACACACGTCTAAGGGGTTAGCATGCACATTCCTTATCTTTAAAGTCCCAAACAGCTCTCACATGGAATCTATTTTCTAACAGTGAGTGGGCATCTCACCTGCCAGCAGTCTCACTCTGTGTCCCATGGCCCTTGACGGCATGAGGAATGTGAGACAGGGACTTGGAACACCCTGGTCCACCTGGGTGAGCTCTTCATCTGTATGAGCAACAGACGGTGGTTCCCTACGTGGCAGTGGCGCACTGGAGCTGGCTTGTCCTGGCTTGTGAGGGTCCATCACTAAACACTTGGGGGCTATGCAGTCAGTTGTTAAGCCTTTGGTAACTTGATATCAGCCAAGATGGAAGCATATTTGATCCTCATTATTCACAGTCATTATGTCCCTGGCTGGCACAAATGGTTAGGCGCTCTGCTACTAACTGAAAGTCACCCAGAGGCGCCTCCGAAGAAAGGCCTGGTGATCTACTTCCAAAAGGTCGCAGCCACAGTTCTACTCTGATACACATGGAGTCACCATGAGTTGGAAACTGGTTTTGGGGTTTTTTTGGTTATGTTTCATAAACTCCCCATAAACACTGACTTAGCAAATGGTGATCCAGCCTCATTCAACCTCACCTGGGAATTTTTCACCACTCTGCACATGTGCATGTCTGCACGTGAATGTGAAAGCTCCACGAGTGTTTTTAGCAAAAATAAAGGCCAATTCACGAATATATAACCCACAAATATGAGGACTGACTGTCTTTACACCATGAAAATTGGCAAATGCTACACATTGGGGCTTATTTTCCCAGAGGGCTGGTTTACCAGCACATCACTCCCCCTGTTGATCTGCGTTGTGCCTGACCATCAGGTGTGACTTGAGAGGAGGGTAGAAGATTTGATTTAAGTTGCGAATAAGATGAAGAGTGATTTTGGTTTGATGTAGAGAAACAGGTCCTGATAGTGGAGGGAAGGGGTTTCTTAGGGAATGTGGTAGATGACAAACGTGACCACAAACCAACACCATTTCTTGCATCAGTGGCAGCTGCAATGCGACTTTGCAGCTCCCACCATCAAGAGACGGAGTGTACCCCTACTCCCCTACCCCTACTAGTGATTTAAGCTGGCCTCGTGGCTTGCTTTATCAAATAGAATGTAGCAGACATGATGGTGTGCCGTTCTGAGTCTAGGTCTCAAGAGACTTAACAATTTCTGCCCTTGCTCTTGGAATGCTACCCAGCTAGTATGAACTAGCCTGCTTGAGGATGAGAGCCCAGTCACCCCCTTGGCCCAGATGACAACCAGTGAACCCAGAACGGAGCCACCTAGCTCACTGGTAACTGACTGCAGGTACATGAGTAAACCCATCTGAGGCCAGAAGAATCACCCTGCTGAGCCCAGGCCAAATTGCTAACCCACAGAAATATGAGCTTCATACATTTTGTTTGAAAAAAAATTATTTTTAATTTATTAAACCCCTACCCTGTGGTGTTGGTGGTTCAGTGATAGAATTCTCACCTTCCATGCAGAAGACTCAGGTTCAATTCCTGTTCAATGCACTTCATGTGCAGCCACCACGCATCTGTCATTGGAGGCTTGAGTGTTGCTATGATGCTGAACTGGTTTCAGTGGCACTTCCAGTCTAAGACAGACTGGGAAGAAAATCTTGGTGATCTACTTCCACAAATCAGCCAGTGAAAACCCTGTGGATCACAACAGTCTGATCCGCAACTGATCATGGGGATAGTGCAGGGAAGGGCAGCACTTTGTTCTGTTGTGCATGGGGGTTGTCATGAGTCAGGGGCCGACTCAATGGCAGCTAATAACAAACAACAACCCTGTGGCAAACCCCTAACATTTTGTATAATCCTTTCAACAACCTTATGTAGTAGGATTTATTGGTCCTGTTTGGCAGAGGATGAAAAATGAGGATCAAGGAGGCTTTAAGTAACTTGCCCAAGATCACAAAGAAAGCAAATGATGAACTTGGACTCAAATCCAGCTGTATCTTACTCGAACACCCATGCCATGTCTCTGTGGTGGGCGGTGAAGGGAGAGTTTGAGGTCAGTCCTTGGTTCATGTCACTCATAAGAGAAGCCAAAGACCTTTGAAGATCAGAACTTGCAGGATAGCTTTTCTTCCCAACTGCCTTCTAGGGGCCTGGCAGGAGAGCGATGAGGCTGTGTCTGGGTGAGTTTGAACATGAAAGTCAAGCTTAATTCTCAGAAGAAACATACTTTCTAGAAAAGCAGAGCATTGCAGTTTGCAAGGAATGATGCACAATGGGAGGGAGATCCAGAGGCCTCAGTTTGGATGTGCATTTAAGGAAAACACATAGCTTCTTTGAGCATCCACAGTGGACAAGGCAACCAGCTGGGTTTGGGACAGAAAAGACTGAGTCTGTGGAGCTGGCTCACCTGGCTGTAAACTAAAGACAAAGGCCTTCCATTCCTCCATAGAAGCTGGAAGAGAAGTGTTCGCATAGGGGTGAGGTCCAGAGATGAGCAAATTACTAGAAATGAACTCTGAATAAAGCCCAGCTTGATTTACTAGAGGTGCGGTGACCATTACTGTGTGGATTTTCCAGAACTGTCAAGATTTCAAATTATTCGCTTATTGTACTCCTCAATTATTTACAGTGCCAGAAATCCCAGCATGTGCTGGAGCCTTGAAGGCTGTAGGCAGCTGAAAGACATTTGTTTTCTGGACCCCAAGTCTTAAGTTTTGGTTCTACATGCTGGAATTTAAGAGCTGGCACTAGTTTTTATTTACAGAAGGAAGTGGGGTGAAGATGGGGAAAGGATTCACCCCACTTTGCACAGGAGCTCCTGACCCTTGTTGTTGTTGGGTGCTGTTGAGTCAATTCCGACTTATAGCAACCCCATGTGACAGAGTAGAATTGCACCATAGGGTTTTCTAGGCTATAATCTTTACAGAAGCAGATCACCAAGTCTTTTCTCCTGCAGAGCTACTGGGTGAGTTTGAACTGTCAACCTTTCAGTTAGCAGCCAAGCGCTTAACCATTGCACCACCAAAGATCCTTTCCTGACACTTAGCGCAGGACTATTTTTATTCTAGTCCCTGGGAGGTGCAAAAGGTTAAGCATTTGACTACTAATGGAAATGTTGGTGGTTTGAACCCACCTACAGGCACCTCAGAAGAAAGGCCTGGTGATCTGCTTCTGAAAGAGCACAGCCTTGAAAACCCTATGGAACAGTTCTACTCTGAAACATATGGGGTCGCCATGAGTCGAAATCAACTCGATGGCAAGTGGTTATTTTCACTCTAACACATCTGCTGTTGAACGCTCTTTGTTGTGTTGCTTTTTTTCTTGTCTCCTTATTTGATTTCAATTTTATCCTTCAAGGTGGTTTGGTGAGAACAGAGGAATGTCTTTAAAGAAAAAAAAGGAAAAGTTCACTGCTCTTTTGAAACCACCTCTAGTTCTCAAGGCAGAGAGCCAAGACTCATATCCTTGTAAAGAGTCCCTGGGATGGAAGAGCAAGCTCCCACCAACTTCCAGAATGGACTTGGCTGGGAGAGGAGCGTGGGCTAGGGGTGCTCCGTAACATAGGAGGGCCTTCACAGTTCACAAGGTATTTTTACATGATCACACTTAGATTCATGTCATTCTCTCAGCACCTGCCAAGGAGGCCAATGGAATCCCTACTTCCGAGGGGAGGCAATTAAGGCTCATGTGGCAGTTGCAGAAGTCCCTCCTGGTCCCAAGTTGCAGAGTGGACATGGCTGGACCAGGAGTTGGGCCCACTGGATGCCTGACTCCAGCTCCAGTGCTCCTTCCAGGTTGCCAGAGAGGGTGTGGTGCCCTGTGCCTGTACAGCTCTACTGCCTAATTCCCATTCCTAACGGGTGTGCTGCTGTGTCTTGACCCTCCAGGCGCTCACCTTGAAGAGGGATGATGTCCAGCAGATGAACCCTCCCAAATTCTACCAGGCCGGTGACATGGCAGACATGACCTTCTTGAACGAGGCCAGCATCTTGAACAATCTACGCCAACGCTACACCAGCATGAGGATCTATGTGAGTGCCCAGTGGGTCGGGCGGCAGGGGGACATGGACCTTCTGCACCTGTTCCAATGAGGGGAAGAGCTAGTCTACCCTCTCAGTTCATGATAGAAATTATGAGTTGGACAAGGGCTCAGGGACCATGTTTTCAACAAGTTAGAACTTCCACCCAAAGCCTTCTGCATCTCAGTGGTGACATCGTCTCCATGGGCAGCTGAAAGATCTTTTGCTGAGGTTGTCACAGAAGTCTTCCTCCCCACCCCTCCCAAACTCTCCAATCAAAACATTATTTTTCCCCTAGTGACTTCATATGGCCTTAGAAGTCCCTCCCTGTTCATCTATCCATCCATCCATCCATCTACGAACCCATCCATCCACCCACCCACCCATCTACCCACCCACCCATCCATCCATCCACCCATCCATCCAACCATCCATCCATCCATCCATCTATCCATCCATCCATCCATCCATCTATCCATCCATCCATCCATCCACCCATCCATCCAGCCACCCATCCAGCCACCCATCCATCTATTCACCAAACATTGAGCACTGTCCTAGGCAGGGTGCTCAAAGAGCTGAGGCCTAAACATGAGAAAGTGGCATTTAAATGCAGCATGAGGAACTTGGGAGGGACACAGTCTTCGTCCTTCAAGAGTTCTCTTCAAGATTTCATTTCTGTTTGTCTGTTTGGACTGAGAAGGGATTGCCAGGCACTGTGGAGTGTAGCCTAAGGGACCAGAGCAGGAAGTCACCTCTTAAATTCATGCACCTCTTGACGAATGGCTGGTTGAACAACTCTGGCAAGTGGGAAATCCTCCACAGCGGCCCCAAATACTTCTCTCTGTGTCTCTCCTGCAAGGGAGGGAGTGTGTGTGTGTGTTGAGGGGGCTCTTCTTTTTATTCTAACCAAAGCAGGGACCAAACTGTCTACCTGCCTTCTCCTCCCCCCTCTAAGATAGAGCTGCAGAGAAGGAGTGACTTGGTGGCTGGTGTCCCTGGATGGGACACTGTGCAGCATACTCTCAAATCTTCAAATGGATTCTCTTTATCTTTGCTTCTCTTTCCTAGGATTGCTTTCTATTTATTATTATTTTTTAAATAAGATTTTATTGCATTTTTCATGAAAGTTTACGCAGCAGATTATGTTCCCATCTGACAATTTCTACACAAATTGTTCAGTGACATTAGTTACATTTTTCACAATGAGTCAGGGTTCTCTTGAATTGCATTCTGGTAGTTCCATTTCCAGTGCTCTAGTTTCCCCACCCCCTTAACTTCTTATCTTTACTTTAGAGTAATTGCTGACCTTTTAGTCTCACACAGATGGTTTATTAATGGAGCCCCGTACTCACAGGTAGTATCTTTTATTTTGTGTGCTAATCTGTTATTTTGCTAAAAGGTGACCTCGGGGGATAATTTTGGTTCAAGGTTTAAAGAGTATCTAAGGGCAACAGTCTCAGGGAGTCTTTTAGTCTCAACTGGTCCAGTAAGTCTGGACTTTTTAAGAACCTGAGTTCTGGTCCACGATTTTCTCCCATTCTATCAGGATCCATCTACTGTGGCCCTGATCACAGTGGTTGGTAGTGGTAGCAGGGCACCATCTAGTGCTGGTGGTCTCAGGGTAGACAAGGCTGTGACTCATGTAGGCTATTAGCTCTGTTGTAGTTGTTAGGTGCCGTCGAGTTAGTTCCGACTCACGGTGACCCCATGTACAACAGAACGAAACACTGCCCGGGTCCTGCACCGTTCTCACAATCGTTGTTATGCTTGAATCCATTGTTGCAGCCACTGTGTCAATTCATCTCCTTGAGGATCTTTCTTTTTTTGGTGACCCTCTACGTTAGCTCTGTAGATTAGTTCAGTCTCTGAGACTTTGGTTTCCTTTGCTTTCTATTTAATAAGTTTCCTTCTGAAAACTCAACATATTCTAGCTATGCTAAGGAGAAACAGGGGGTATTTATTCCCACTCGGACCAAAGAGGAAGGTTTTTAAATTGAATCAAAAAGAGGCACGTAGGTGGGGGCCTCAGAGGTCAACGTGAAGGACCAGCAGGAAGAAGGGAAAGTTTGGAATCCACTGATTTGGTCATTTTCTGTCCTCAGTTGTTCTTTTCCCTCAGACAATTTCTTTTACTACCTCATTCTTCTTACAGGATAATTTTTTCTTTTTTCTTTTTTTTACAAATGTGCCTTGGAATGAAAAGAGAAACTTGTATCTCTTTTTAAGAGTCTATCAGGCTTAGCTGCAAGCCAGTAAGCGTCTGTGGTCTGTCTACCCCGTGGAGGACACCACAGCTGTTGAAACACCACAGAGATCTCTCCGTGACTCTATGGAAAAATCCCACAGATATATGAAGTGGAAAAAGCAAGATCTAGAACAGTATTACAGAATACCATTTTTTTCTTTTAAAAACAGTGGGAGATAGGAATGTGTCTCTCAGTTTGTTTGTATATGCATCACAAACCAAGCAAGAGTGTGTAAGCAACTAACCATGGTGGTCACCATGGAGGGTGGCAGGCCTGGGCAGATGGAAGGACTGTTGACTGTGTATCTATCCATACAGGACTGTATTACCTATTCAAATAATTAGACCAAAAGAAAATGAAACAAAGGGAAGCTCATTTTGCTTAATGAATAGACACTGACTTCGCCCCCAGAGAAGAGACCACCATATCTTTCCAGACTGGCCATGACCTCTAGCCAGTGATAACAACATGCTGAGGTCCTAAGGAAGCTGAGAAAATGCAACTGGGGAAGAGGGCACCAAGAGAAAGGGCCAGCTAAACATCTTCCTTCCTTCCCACCAGACCTACTCAGGCTTGTTCTGCGTGACGGTCAACCCCTACAAATGGCTGCCCATCAATGCGGCCCGTGTGGCCAACATGTACAAGGGCAAGAAGCATACAGAGATGCCACCCCACCTCTTCTCCATCTCTGACAACGCCTACCATGATATGCTCATGGGTAGGTGGGGCGTGGGTCCACTGGGATGGGTGCGGCTGACGACATGCATTCCTTTGCCAATGCATCTCCAAACACATTAGAACTCACGCTAGCCAGTCCCCGACCCTAATCTTGAACCACCAGTTGAAGTTCTTTGCTAAATGTTGAGCAGCAGCAACAGGTAATATTAATACAAGGCACCCGTGCTCAAAAAATGTACTGAGCACTTGCTAAGTATCAGCCCTACCTCATGCCCTATTTCACTTAAACTTCACAAAGACGTGGAATGTAGAGTTAAGTTACTGGCCCAGAATTCAAATCAACACTCATGGCCATTACATATATTTTTCTGTTGTATGGTATAGTGGCCCCATTACATGAATTTTCTTTATTGAGGTAATATATATAAAATAAAATTTTCCATTTTAACCATTTTAAATATATAATTCACAATGTTGTGCAACAATCAACCACTATCTACTTCCCAAACCCTTTCATCATCCCAAATACAAACTCTGTGCCCATAAAGCAATAACTCCCCATTGCCCCCCTCTCCTCAGCCCCTGCTAACCTCTAATATACTCTCCATTTCTATGCATTTGCCTATCGTAGATGTTTCATATCAGTGGATTCATACAATATTTGCCCTTTTGTGTCTGGCTGACTTCCCCCAGCGTAATGTTTTCAAGGTTCCTTCATGTAGTAACATGTATCAGAACTTCATTTCTCTTTATGACTAAATAATATTCATATATATCTACGTGTGTGTGTGTATGCATATCACGTCTTGTTTATCCATTCATCTGCTGTTGGACACTTGGGCTGTTTCCACCTTTTGTCTATTGTGAACAGTGCTGCAATGAACAGTGGTGTACAAGTATCTATTTGTGTCTTTGCTTTCACGTCTTTTTGGTAGATACCCAGGAGAGGAATTGCTGGGTCATGTGATTTTTATTATTATTTCTCTTTATGTTGTTTATGACAGGTAGCTTTATGGCTAAGAGACCAGGCTGGTAGAAATGGAGTAGCTGGTAAACTCTTGGCCCTTTGGCAGGGACGTACTCTAGTAATGGGTACATGGCCACTGGTCTCCCAGGGTTCTGGTTTTCGGCCATAGAGCACAGCAGTGGGTGGTATGCAGGGTGTGCTGTTTGTCTGAGATGTTATCAAATGCCTGGTTTCTAAATGTTTCCTAATTACCTCTTCCTATTGCTGTTTCCTTCCCAACAGATCGTGAAAATCAGTCTATGCTAATCACGTAAGTGTCTCTTCCATCTCTCAGTCTGTATACGTGTAATTAGGGTGGTGTCTTATGCATCTAATTAAGCCTTCTTATAATTAAGAGACAAACCCTGCAGGTGGCAATCAGTCTTAACAGGACAAGTAAGTCTGCACCTGCTAATTGATGGTGGGGGTGGGGGGTTCCATGTCCCCAAGTCCTCCCACCTGCTTGCTATCCAGGCAGGGGCGGTAGGTGGGGCAGAATGTGACCATGTTCAGCCTGTGCCTTTCTATTGCTTCTCTTCTCTGCGGCCAATCCCCCTCTTCCGGCTCACATCTGCTCCCGGTTTCCACCTGCAGTGGAGAATCTGGTGCTGGCAAGATGGGGAACACAAAGAAGGTCATTCAGTACTTTGCCAACATTGGAGGAACTGGCAAACAGTCCGCGGATGGGAAGGTATGGCTGGCTGGGAGGACTGGGGTTCTGTAGCCTCCCACTCCCCTCCCCCAGCCCTCTTCTGTCTTCAGGTTCACCCAGCAGAGCTCACTTCATCCTCATGGCCGCTCTGGAGTTAGGGCCATTTTACAGATCATGAAACTGAGGCTTAGAGAGACGTGACTTGAGTGGGGTCACACAAGGAGAAGGCGGCCAAGCTGACAAAGGCTCTTCCTGCAGGACTGATTTGCTGCCCCAGGCCACATCTGCTTCTAGAAGAGCCGGCTGCAAGTCACTTCTGCTGGGACAGGCAAGATACAGGGAAAGTGGGCGCCTCCTGAAGCTGCTTTCCAGGCCCCGGCAGCCCCTGGGGGCAACGAGCATAAGCTGGGGCCTGCTGGCTGCAGCCTTAAAAGCGACCAGAGAAAAGAAGAACTTCAGAGGAAGACCAAGGAAGCCTGGGGAAGGGCTCGGGGATCTCAGCCCACAGCAAAGTGAGGCAACAACAGCTGAGAACCAAAGCCGAGGAAGGGCACCGAGTTTCTGTTTGGGGAAATGAAACACTTCTGGAAATAGATGGTGGTGATGACTCCACAACATGGTGGAATATAATTCATGTCATTGACCTGTACATTTAAAAATGATTAAAATGGCAAATTTGATGTTATATATTTACCAGAATACCAGAGAATACCAGAAAGATGTTTACCTGTGTTTTATTGACTATGCAAAGGCATTCCACTGGGTGGATCTTAATAAATTATGGATAACATTATGAAGAATGGGAATTCCAGAACACTTAACTGTGCTCATGTGAAACCTGTACATAGACCAAGAGGCAGTCTTTTGAACAGAACAAGGGGATACTGCGTGGTTTAAAATCAGGAAGGTGTGCATCAGGGCCGTATCCTTTCACCATACTTATTCAATCTGTATGCTGAGCAAATAATCTGAGAAACTGGACTATATGAAGAAGAACGGGGCATCAGGATTGGAGGAAGACTCATTAACCACCTGCAACATGCAGATGACAGAATCTTGCTTGCTGAAAGTAAAGAGGACTTGAAGCACTTACTGATGAAGATCAAAGACTACAGCCTTCAGTATGGATTACACCTCAACATATAGAAAACAAAAATCCTCACAACTGGACCAATAAGCAACATCATGATAAACGAAGAAAAAATTGAAGTTGTCAGTGATTTCATTTTACCTGGATCCACAATCAATACCCATAAAAGCAGAAGTCAAGAAATCAAACGACCTATTGCATTGGGCAAATCTGCTGCAAAAGACCTCTTTAAAGTGTTAAAAAGCAAAGATGTCACTACGGTGTGCCTGACCCAAGTCATGGTATTTTCAATTGCCTCATGTGCATGCAAAAGCTGGACAATGAATAGGAAGACTTAAGAAGAAGTGATGCATTTGACTTACGGTGTTGGCAAAGAATATTGAGTGTACCATGGACTGCCAGAAGAACAAGCAAATCTGTCTTGGAAGAAGTACAACCAGGATGCCCCTTAGAAGTGAGGATGGCAAGACTTCATCTCACATACTCTGGACATGTTATCAGGAGGGACCAGTCCCTGGAGAAGGACATCGTACTTGGTAAAGAAGAGGGTCAGCAGAAACGAGGAAGACCCTCAACTAGATGGATTGACACAGTGACTGCAACAATGGACTCAAACATAGCAAAGATTGTGAGGGTGGCACAGGACTGGGCAGTGTACATAGGGTTGCTGTTAGTTGGAACCAACTCGACAGCACCTAACAACAACAAACATTTTTCTGTGTGTGTGTGTATGGTGAAAATATAGACAACAACCCTCACCAAAAACTCACTGCTGTCGAGTAGATTCTGACTCATAGTGAACCTGGAGGACAGAGTAGACTGTACCATAGGGTTTCCAAGGCTATAAATCTTTACAGATGCTGACTGCCACATCTTTCTCCCAAAGAGTGGCTGGTGGGTTTGAACCACCAACCTTTTGGTTAGCAGCCGAGCACTTAACCACTAGGCCACCAGATCTCCTTATATACAACAAAGCATAGGCCAGTTCAATAGTTTCTACATGTACAATTCAATGACATTGGTTACACTCTTCATGTTGGGCAACGCTTACCCCTATCTTTTTTCCTAATGTTATATATATTTTATCACAATTTTTTAAAACTAATCTTCGTATATTTTGGCCCAACCATTCTCTTTGTTAATTAAAAAAAAAAAAACACAAGGTTGATGTTCTGCCAGTGTCCCCAGTGTCCCTAGCGCCCCTCCTGATGCTGGGGGACTGCAGAGGGACAAACGTTGTCAGGCAATGGCCGTCCTCCCTGAGGACCCTCCAGCCCTGATTCCCTGTCCTCCCCACGGTCCTTCCCCTGCTAAGTTCCTGGAGCATAAGCCCTTGTCATTTGAAAGCCCCGTCCCTCAGCCCTGGGCTCCCAGCCCACGGCCAACCGGCCATCACCTTCTGTTTCTTTCTGGGTCAGGGGTCCCTGGAGGATCAAATCATCCAGGCGAACCCTGTGCTGGAAGCCTTTGGGAATGCCAAGACCACCAGGAACAACAACTCCTCTCGCTTCATAAGTGTGAGCAACAGCAGCCAGCCGTGACCCCCGGGGTGGCAAGACAGGGACCGAGGCAATTTAAACACTGAGATGGGATGAGGAAAGTCCTGGCGTCTCCTCCCCAGAGATTTCTAGAGTTATCAGCCAGGGTTTAGTCAGCAAACAGCACCCATGTCAATATTTAAGTTGGGGGGCTTTAGTGCAGAGACCTGGTAGCACGGGATGGAGGGGTCAAGAAGTCAAACAGGAGATGGTGAACCAGACAGAGATTTGCAACAGCAAGAAGTCACAGCCACCTCCAGGCTGCAGGGATGGAGGAGAGGTGCTGCCCCCAGGTGGGAGCTGGAGTCACAGAGGGAGCTCAGCATGGCCCAAGATGCCATCCCAGGAGGAGAAATACCCTGGTCTTTCCCTCCCAACTCCCCAGTCTCCTACTGGGAATCCCATTGGCTGAACCCAGTTAGCCGATACGGGAGCCTGGGAAAACAGGGCTGGGGGTGTTGGTCCTTTGGGGAGGAATAGAGGTGAGGGCAAACAGGACCAGCCTAGATAAGAACATAAAAACCAGTTGCTGTTGAGTCAACCCCATGAACGTCAGCGTAGAACTGCTGTCCATAGGGTTTTCAGAACTAGATTGCCAGGCCTTTCTTTTGAAGTGCCTCTAGGTGGACTCAAACCACCAATCTTTTGGTTAGCAGCCGAGCACATTAACCATTTCCATCACCCAGTGACACCACATAGAGACATATTGTTATGTTGTATGTCATCAAGTAGATATCAACTCGTAGTGACCCTACAGGACAGAGTAGAACTGCCCCACAGAGTTTCCTAGGCTAAAACGCCAGATCTTTTCTCCCTCGGAGTAGCTGGTAGGTTCAAACAACTGACCTTTCAGTTAGCAGCCAAACATTTAACCACTGCACTGAGATTCCTACTTTCAGGAGAATCTGTTTGTGGTTCTGCCAAAAGTCAGAGAGAGGAATGAGATACCTCTTTCTAAGGAGAATGTAGAGTGTTCCCCTCCCCCCTAACCTGGCTGGCTGGCCAAAATTCCCACAATGCCTAATCTCTAAACAGAATTCCAAAGGGTTCCAGCCTGCTGCTGAGGGCTCTTCTCCCCCACCAATGTCCCCAAACTATAGGCTACTGCACAGACCCTAGATTTAGTTCTGAGGCCTGTCCATCCCTTTGTCTGCCCATCTACATGGGAAGTCCACATAGAGGTCCACCTACAGTGACATCAGGCCCAGGTCTATCCACCACAGCTTTCTTAGAATTCAGGGGGTCTGCCGATGAGCAACCTGCAGCCAAACCCGGCCACGTATTGCTCTAAAGTTACATTAGTTCTCCCTCATGACCTCTCCCCTCTCCTCCCTGCCCAGGGCAAGTGCATCCGAATCCTCTTTGGAACAACGGGCAAACTGGCTGAAGCTGACATCGAGAGCTGTAAGTCAGGCCCCTGAGGGAGGGGTCTTCCAGGCAGGGCCAGCAACATCATTTGCAAGGCCCAATGCAAAATAAAAACACAGGGCTACTTGTTCAAAAAGCGTTAAGAATGTCCAGATGGCACCAGCGGGGCATTAAACCAAATGTGGGGCCCTCTGAGCACGGACCTGTGGCCCACCCAGGAGGCTGGGCCTGCTCCTGAACTGCTCCCTGAGGCTGTGTGTCTGGAGGATGAGGGAAGAAATGGGTCTGTGACTGGAGATTGCCCTGGACTTCCTGGAGAGGGAAGCGCTGCTCTCCACAGAATCTGCGCTCCAGGTGGGATGGGTCTGCACTTACTGGCATCTCTGCTTGTTCCTCCTCAGATCTCTTAGAGAAATCTCGGGTCTTCTCACAGCAGTCAGCCGAGAGAAGCTACCACATTTTCTACCAGATTCTCTCCAACAAGAAGCCTGAACTTATTGGTAACGATCTTTATGTCTGCCCACCTGTCCCTTAACTCGCTTTTCCTCTCTTTTCAGCAACAAAAGAATTCTCCTTTGCGGAGGGTCTCGTGGGACCCCTGGAGTTATGTGAATGGATCACAGGGAACTTTTTCTGAGTTCTTCTCACACATTTCAACCTCACAACCGTCTTGTGAGACCGAACACCATCATTGGCCATTTCACAGATGGGACTTTGGGAGGGAACGTGAGATGCCTGTGGTTCACGGTGGAGACATGGACCTTGCATGTGGGGTTTTCACAGACCTGTGGCCCTGGGGCCCGATGCTCAGACAGCAGCAGTGGGGTCAGCCCATGACGGCAGTTAGCCCTGGGAGTGTTGTGTTTAGGTGCCATCGAGTCGATGCTGGCTCATAGCAATCCCATGTGACAGAGAAGAACTGCCTCATAGGGTTTTCTTGGCTGTAGTCTTTACAGAAGCAGATCGCTAGGTCTTTCTCCCATGGAGGCGCTGGGTGGGCTCGAACCGTCAACCTTTAGGTTAACAATCAAGTGCTTGACCGTTTGCACCACTAGGGTTACAGTTCTTGCCTATAACGTAGCAACAGGCTCTCCTCTGAGTAGACACGGTCCACACCGGGTGCATAGCTCAGCAAGCTAAGCACACACAGCTGCTCGGCAAGCTGAGCGTACACAGCCTCTCGGCTGGGTTCCCCTGGGCAGGGCCCAACATGCTCAGCTGTCCATGGCAGTCCTGTTCAGGATGTAAGATGGAGAAAGAGATGAAGAATCAGTCTCCCATACATACCTCCTAACCCAGCCTCTGGACTAGGGCACTGGTCACCATCTCCCAGCCCCAGTGGGCTTTCCTTGTGTTGGACATAGTGCGCTTTTTAATTCATGGGTGATATTTTGCAACTGGAGGACTTCACATAAAATCCAGTTTTCTGGCTCCTCGTGGAGTAGCAGAAGATCTGGTAGTCCTGGGTGCGCTCCCCATGGGGCATTAATCAGGGCAGCTAAGTGTTGGCACCCATTTGGATGGAGCACAAGCACTTCTGTTCACCACACTCCCTGCCAAGCCCTGTTGCCTCCCTGATGCTGGAGCAGAGTGGCAGCCACCATATTTATCTTCCTTCTTGCCCTGTAGTTTTTCTCAATTTGTTGTTGTTGTTAGTTGCCGTCAAGTCAATTCTGACTCATGGCAACCCCATGTGTGCAGAGTAGAACTGATCCATAGAGTTTTCAAGGCTGTGACCTTTTGGAAGCAGATTGCCAAGCCTGTCTTCCGAGGTGCCAGTGGAGATGAAATGAAAGGAAAATATTTCTTGTGCCCATGTCTCTTTCAAAAGTGAAAAAAACAAAGACAGCCCAATAGAGGCACACATTTCAAGAACAATCGGAGTGAGCGTATTTCCTTGTGGAAGGGACAACACTCCCATGTGTATCATATACAAGTGATTGTATTGCCCCTTGCAGTCATTATGTTACCTTCTGCCTTAGAGTGTGACCTACTCTTTATGGGAGATAAGGATTCATTTATTCCAAAAATATCTATTGGGCGCCTACTAGGTGCCAGGTACTGGGCCAAGTGACAGAGGACACAGCTGAGTTCCTTCGACCCTCTTGCCCCTCTACTGCTCCTCGTGTAGCCCTGTCCAAGTCCTGCCATGACTCTGGATAATCCAGTCTCATTCGCCTCTATAACCCCCATGGTGCCCACCGTCATGCCTGGCAGGCACATGAGAGGCATTTAGAGATGATAACAATGAAAGAGAAGAAAACCACCTGTCACCAAGCTGTTACGCTACCCTCCTTCTCTCGGCAGAAAGTCTGCTGCTGGTCCCCAACCCCAAGGAGTACCACTGGGTGAGCCAAGGCGTGACCACGGTGGGCAACATGGACGACGGGGAGGAGCTGCAGATCACAGATGTGAGTCGGGAGTGGTGACCAGCAAAAGACGGGAGGAACCACGACAGAAATGCTGGGGCGCTGCACCATGGCCACCAGCTTTGAGGGCCCCTCAAAGTGTCAAGCAGCATCCTAGATTCTTCCTCAGAGATTTCTGGGACTGGAGTTGGTATTTATCCCAAGCCCACTGTGCAAGCAGGGTTTCTGTTTGTTGAACTAGAATTCCATACAGACTTAAAGGGTCATCAACTCCACACAGCTTTTCCTCCTCCCATCCCAGCTAGAAGTGACCTTCTTGTCCCCTCAGGGCCCACTGTACACTCTCTCCCTCTCTTAATGGCACGGAGCACCTGAGACTTCTGTTAGGATAGTTCTAGGCGCTCTCTGTTCTAGGCCCTTTTTCCTCTTTGACAACAGCCTTGATTCCTGATTCATCTGTGTCTTCCTCCTCCCCTACTACCTCTCAGGAAGCCTTAACAATAACAACAAAGGTAATAATAATAATACCAAACCAGTTGCCATTGAGTCAACCCTAACTCATGGCAACCCCTTGTGTATCAGAGTAGAACTGTGCTCCATAGGGTTTTTCATGGCTGATTTTTCGGTAGTAGATTAACAGACCTTTCTTCTGAGGGACCTCTAGATGGACTCAAACCTCCATCCTTTTGGTTAGCAGCTGAGTGCGTTAACCATTTCCAGTACCTAGGGACTCCATTATAATAAGACTTCACATTTATTGAGCCCTTACTATATGTCAAGCACTGTACTAAAAATTTTACACATCATTTTGATTTAATTCTCACAACCACCCATAATCCCCCTTTTGCAGAGAGATTAAATAAATAAAATGGGTATTTTGCAAAGCATCTGCTCTGAGCTCCTTGCAGGAAAACAGGCCTCCCCCTGGTCGGGCTGTGTCTGACGTCCAGAGCCCATGCCTTGCCTAGAGTGGCAGCCACGGCCTCTGCTATGTGGGACAAGAAGCCAGGAGTTTCTCGTTGACTTTCTCCTCCCTGTTGCCTCTTAGGTTGCATTTGACGTGCTGGGCTTCACTGCCGAGGAGAAGATTGGCGTCTGTAAGCTGACCAGGGTGGTCATGCCCTTTGGGAACATGAAGTTCAAGCAGAAGCCCCGAGAGGAGCAAGCTGAAGTGGATACCACCGAGGGTAGGTATCTGGCTGGTCAGAGACGAGGCAGCTGGTGGCAGGGCTTCCCCGTTCTCCAGGGTTTCGTGGACATTTCAGAGACACGCCTTGGGTTCTCAGGTGAAACAGAGGCTGCAAACAGCTCCTTCTTGGCTCCAAGTCCAGACAGCAGTACTCCCTGAGAGGCGAGATAGAGAGCCAGAGACATGGTCTTGGTTTCTGACTCAGTGTCCTAGGGCTGCCATGACAAAATACCACAAAGCGGGTGGCTTTAAAGAACAGAAATTTATTATCTCACAGTTCTGGAGGCTGGAAGTCCAAATTCAAGGTGTTGGTAGGGCCATGTTCTTTCTCTGTCCACTCTAGGGGAAGATCCTTCCTTATCTCTCTCAGCTTCTGTGTTCCTTGGCGTTCCTTGGCTTGTAAATGGTCCTCACATGCTGTTTTCTCCTTATGTGTGACTCTCTTTGTGTCTGTTCTTCCCCTTTGTAAAACACCATTCAGAAGGGATTAGGATTAGGGCTCACTCTACTCCAGTGTAACCTGGTTTGACTTCACGGATAGCAAAAGAAAAACCCTATTTCCAAACAAGGTCACATTTACAGGTACAGGGGTTAGGACTTCAACATATATTTTGGGAGGGGTGTAATTCAGTCCATAACATTTTCTACACCTTGCTTTTCCATTTGACCTTGAGCAAGTGTGGAAACTACCTCAGACCTCTGTTTTCTCACTGGCAAAATGAGGTATCCTCCAGTCTCCTCCTCAGCCACAATAGATGGTGGTAGGTTTTTCCTGAGCATGGTGCCGTCTTTCTTTCATTCATCTGCTTTTTCCATCCCTACTCAGTGGCCAACAAAGTTGCCCATCTCATGGGTCTCATTTCTGGGGCGCTCCAGAAGGGCATCACCAGACCCCAGGTCAAAGTAGGCAATGAGTTTGTACAAAAGGGCCAGAACATGGAGCAGTGCAACAACTCCATTGGGGCTCTGGGCAAGGCCGTCTATGACAAGATGTTCAAGTGGCTGGTGGTCAGGATTAACAAGACCTTGGACACCAAGATGCAGAGGCAGTGCTTCACCGGGGTGCTGGACAATGCCAGCTTTGAGATCTTTGAGGTGTGTCTGGGCTCATGTTTGGTTTCTGTTTTGGGGTGACCATCGTCCTTTTATAAGCTACTTTTCACCGTGGTTTTCTTGTTTCTCACCTTAGGTCTGTGGCAAGCCCATCTCAGCTTGTCACTGGGTCTCTGACTTTTGGACTCCAGAAAGATCCATCTTCATTTCCGTGGCACCAAATTATAAACAATGGTGTAAACATAATGGATAGAACCATGGAGCCAGCCTGTACAAACACAGTTTTTAGGAATTTTGTGAGCCGGTTGATGTCACGTTGACAGTTTGAAATTGGCCGTGGTATGAGTATTAACACCATGGAAATTGGCAAACACTGCAAATCAAAAAAAAAAAAAATTTTTTTTTTTTTTTGAGAGAAAGCTGATTTACCAGCATGTGATGGGTGACCTCCACTTCTTGCTCACAAAAATGGTCTCAGGTCTCATCATAAGACTAGCGTTGCAGGTCAGAAGGATTTTACCTATGTAATTTGGTGACACAATGATTAGGAGTCAGTAGATCTAGTTCTGGTCTCAGGTCGGCAACCAACTAGCTGTGTGGCCTTGGGAAAGTGACTGCCCTTCTCTGAATCTCAGTTTTCTCAACTGTAAAATGAACGGTTTGGAAGAGATGATCTCTAAGGTCCAGTTCAGCTCCACTGTCCCATTATTCTAAGATTTCTACTAGCTGCAGGCAGATATTTTTTAAAAACAGCCTAATTTCTTTCAGGCTTTAAAAGGATAATTTGGATGCTGTATCCAATAGGATCATTTCATTTCACGGGTAGAAGAAGCCTTAGAAAGAGTTTCCAAACCGTAATTCCTGAAGTCCTGGGGAGCCATTGAGGACTAGCAGGGGTGAGGCAAGGGAAGAAGGAGGGCACCCTTGAGCTAACAGTACAGTTACTGGAAATGACAACCAGGGTTTGAATCCCAGCTCAGCCACTTCTAAGCTGTGTGCCTCAGTAATCACTCTTTCCTTGTGAGGTTTTTTAGCACATATTACTCACTTCATGAATGTAGCTGCTGTGATTGCAATGACATCTCCCCTTTCACCTGTTTTTACAGGGGGCCTCAGCATGCAGTTTCATTTGGAGAAAGCTTTTTTTCCCTCTGATTTAAAAAAAATAAATGGCTTGTAAACTCATCAAACCTCTTCATCCTACAAATGAGGATGAGATAAACTAGAGAGGAAAAAAAAAAAAATAGCCCAAAGTCACACAGTGGGTCAGATCCATGAAGCATCGGATGATTTACATCCCTAGGGGGGAAAAATAGTTCTTTCCACAGTGATTTTTGGTAGCCATGGGGTGCTAGAGTCTGGCTGCCTTGGGCCCCAGCATCCCCACCATGTGGGCCAAAGCAGGTGCTTAAACTACTCTGTACCTCAACTAGGGCAGATGCGGGCAGCGGTAACGGATGGTAGATTTTAAGGCAGGTAGGGCAGCACCTGGCACTGGTGGGCCCTGCCAAATTGTCTCGGTGCTAATGGCTCACTCTCTCCCAGGAGAGACCCAGTGTCTGTGCTGACTCGCCTCCTTCTGCCCTCCCGCCGCAGTTCAACATCTTTGAGCAACTGTGCATCAACTTCACCAACGAGAAGCTACAACAGTTCTTCAACCACCACATGTTCGTGCTGGAGCAGGAGGAGTACAAGAGGGAGGGCATCGAATGGGTCTTCATTGACTTTGGCCTTGACCTGCAGGCCTGTATTGACCTCCTGGAAAAGGTAACTTGCTTCTTGAAGGAGCGGCTTGGAGTGAAGCCAAGGCCCTAACCTAGGCACGCCTAAGGGAGCATTTCACTGGGGCCCGTGGCAAGGCAGCACCTGGTATCAGGGCAGTCAGCAACATGGCTGATGAGCTACTTTGGTCTCACCTCTGTCTCCCCCTCTGTAAAATGGGTACAACAGCCACTGCAATGGCCACTGTTGTTTGAGCTTGTATGCTTGAACTCAATGGACAATCACAACCTACCTTATTGGCAGTGGGGGGAGGTACTTTTATTATACTTATTTCACAGATGGGAACATGTCATGTTGATTGAGGCACAGAGAAGGGAAGCCACTTGTCCAAGGTCACACAGCCTGTGAGTGGCACACCCAGGCTCTAACTCAAGTCATTGAATCGTTTTGCTTATAATCACACCACACATACTGTTTTAGCAAATGCCCTAGTTCAAGAATACATACCATTTGATTAAATGCAGGAAGAGAACATTAATCAGACAGTTGAGAAAATGTGAATGAAGTCTGTTCGTAGTGTGGTATCAATGTTAATCTCTTGGCTTTCATTATTACATGATGGCTATGACAGGTGCTAACATTTGGAGAAGCTGGGTGAAGGTATGTGGGAATTCTTTGTACTATTTTTGCAAGCCTGAAATTATCTCAAGATGAAAAGTTAAAAAATAAGAGAAAGAAAGAGTATATCTCATCTCTGAGGCACGTCCTTGGGCCAGTCACAGAGGAGAATCAATCAACAAGGCAGCCAAGAGCCTCCCCTGCAGGCCAGCTGAGCCCCCTGGGAAAGCAGTCTCCCAAACCAGGCCGTGTGAACAGATTCCCGTCCCCGCCGCCCCTGACACCTATAAACATCTCCCCGTCCACCTGTCAGAGCCCAAAATCTCACTGCTGAGCGTTGCGATTAAGCACTGCCTTCTTCCAGAAGTCTTTTCAAATCCACACCCTCCATGGATGGGGGCATAGTAAGTCACTAACATTGTTTATGAGCTCCCCTTTTCCGTCTGAGAAGAGGCCTGGAACAGCACAGCACTGGGTAGCCAGGATGGTCCGTGGGGACAAGGAGGAGCCCGTAAAAGAGAATTCAAAGCAGAGAGGACAGCTGTCATTGATTTCACTGTTGTGCTGAGGGCTGAGCTACTCCACAGCCACTCTTCGGGTGGGATTGGCATTAGGCAAGCCATTGGGCCCCTTCAGGCCTCAGTCTTCCCTTTGAGAAACAATGGGGCCTGTGGGGCTTGATGAATTGTAGCCTCTTTCAAGCGTAGGTGGCCGTGGCATTTGCAGCAGACGTGCCCATGGAGAGCCAGATGCCATTCCCAGAAGTCTGGGACAGCCATATGGGTGCACATTGCACCCCTGCAACCAATCCAACACTGGCATGGTCTCTTGTGGATCCTGCAGCCTCTTCTGATGCCATCCCCTCCTTCTCTTCCCCTCCCTCCTAGCCCATGGGTATTTTCTCCATCTTGGAGGAGCAGAACGTCTTCCCCAAAGCCACGGACGCCACGTTCAAGGCAGTCCTGTATGATAACTGCCTGGGCAAGTCCAGCAACTTCCTCAAGCCCAAGGGGGGCAAGGGGCACGGGGCCCACTTCGAGCTCGTCCACTACACAGGTACTGTAAGTACTAGCCTCGACCTTCTCTGTGGCCATTGACTGCTGTTCAACCACTCTCACAGTTGAGGCTCATCCTGACATGCCCTTCTAGAAGTTTCTTGCTTCCAATTAGCGCTATGACAGTACAGCTGAGGGCACAGCTGACTGAAACAAACTCTGACTCATACTTCCTCGTCAATCCCTCATCTGAGAATGCCAAATCAATCTGGCCAAGGATGCCTGTTGGGAAGCAGTCGGGGGTCTGTGCTGTCCAACCTGGCCCTCCAGGGCCACCCCATTGTCTGTGTTCCCTGGTTTGACAGCTGAACCCCAGCCTTGGCTAGAAGTGATAACACTTGCATAAAGGAAAAAAAAAATTTTCCATGAGCCCATTAATTATTCCCCAATGAAATGATTCATCCCTCTGACAGCCCATGGCCGCCAAACCAACAAGGTGACATCTATGGAGTGGCTTTTTCACTCATGACAAACTTAGACCTTGGGCAAGAGGGGAATTAAGTGCAACCAGAACTCAGGTTCTATTAGAATAATTAATAAGGGAGGCAACTTTTGTTCAGCCAGCTGATAAGAATGTGTATGGCTTCCTTGGGATTTCAACAGTGGCATAAACACAACGCCCCTGTTACCACCAGATTTGTGGAGTTGTCCGTGGGTTTAGCTGCAGGAAGCAACAGCCTCAGGACAGAGCTTTGAGGAAAGCTGCTACTGCATTGAGTAACAGGGCCAAGATTTTGTAATATTACCAACCATAACAATACCAACTACTCACAAAATGGATTTTGCTGATACCTTGAGCAAACAACAGGTTAGGGGCCTAATTACAGTGTCTCTCTCCCTTCCACTCCCCACGCTGAAATTAGAAGAGCTCTGTATGTATAGCAATGGAATATTCAGGATCGAACAGAACCTCCACTTGCAAGAAGGCTCTAAAATAAGGCCCAGGAATGATGAATATCTATTTTCTGCGTAGGAGATGGAAAGCTCAAAGGTTTTGGTGTCCCATCTACTTGCCTTGGGTTCTCTGAACCCAGGTAGAAGGGTCTGAAAGGCTCCTTCCTTCTTGTCCCTCCAGATGGGGCTGCATGACAAAATGGGAAACAGGAATTAGTGGCTATCCAGTTACCCAGACAGGTATAAACCCCATTTCTTGATGGGTGGAGCCCCCTTCCACCAGGCAATGGCCCTACCGTGTTGTGAGAGGGAGTGCGTGCTCCTTAGCAAAGAGAGGAAAATGCCCCTTCAAAGAGTTCTTTATGTAGCTCGGGATTCCACTGTCCATGGCCAGGCACTGACAGTAAGGGCAGGACCTGGAAAATCAGGATACTTGGGTAGAAGAAGATCCAGGGGTCAGGGAGGTTCAGTGTGACCAGCAAAACATCCAAGAGGTAATGACAGGTCGCAGCTCAGGAGAGAGTAACCTGGTTTATGGGCAAAGCTCAGAGATGAGATGTCCCAGGGAGGCCAACTGAAAATGCCTGGGAAAGCAAGGAGCAGCCTCAGGGCCAACAGAGAATGGTGTTCAGGAACACCAAGGATACCAGGTAAGTCATCAGGACAAGAACTATAACCCAAGGAAATGGGGCTCAATATTGGTCCTAGGAGCCCAGAGCATGGTAGAGCTGTAGATGGAGGTCTTAGCTGTGGAACTGGAAAGGGAGAGTTGGGTCCTGAAATTCACCCCTTCATGTTTGCCCCTCTCCAGGTGGGTTACAACATCATGGGCTGGCTGGAGAAGAACAAAGACCCCCTGAATGAAACCGTGGTGGGCTTGTTCCAGAAATCGACCGTCGCGATCCTCGCCCTTCTCTTCAAAGAAGAGCAGGCTCTAAGTATGCCTGATTCCTTGTTGTGTCCAGTCTCCCTCTGCCAATGCTCTTTAGTTGCCAAAATGGAAAGAAGGAAACAAAACTCTCTTATCCTTAAGAGCAGAGAGGGCATTTTTAGTGCTTTGCTCTCTGAAGACCAGTTCCCCAAAGCTTAAGCCTCAAAATTCAACTCATCTCCTTTCCACTAAAATTCAACAAACATCTGTGTTGGGGCAAAGATATAAGATGTGATCACTAGCCTCTAGAAGCTTCCAGTTTGGCAGGAGAAGTACAGCATATTTTAAGTGTATGTGCATATGTTTATACATACCATAGGAGCCCTGGTGGCACAGTGGTTAAAGCACTTGTCTGCTAACCAAGAGGTTGGCAGTTTGAACCCACCAGCTGCTTCACCAGAGAAACATGTAGCAATCTGATTCTGTAAAGATTACAGCCTTGGAAACCCTATGGGGCAATTCTGCTCTGTCCTTGGGGTTGCTATGAGTCAGACTCAACTCGACAGCAGTGGATTTGGTTTTTTGTTTTTGGTTATACATACCATGCCTAGTTGCAAAAGTAAGTAAGATAACTTGAGCTGACATCTACTGAGTAATCCCCAACAAGAACTCTAGGAGTTTCACGAAGAAACAAATGTATGGCTGTTAGAGTAGATAGATGACTGGACTTTCAGTAGGCTGAACAAAGATTTGTTGAATGAATGAATGAGTGACAAGTGGCTTGAGGTAGGCCATGGAAGATATTGCAATAGAGGGCTATGGATGCATTCTGGGAGCTTCCACCAGCTGAATTGGTCACTGGCCCCTAGGTGGAGCAACACTGCTTTAGAAAAATTGACACCAAATGCCCTGTGCTTATTTTCTGCTCTGCGTTCTATGTCTGAGGCAAATCCCAAGCCCAGCCAGCCCTGCATACTACTCAGTAGAAGTCAGCTGGCCCATAGGGAACTGCTCTGGGTGGAAGCCTCCCAGTGGGGGTGCAGCTCAGCAGGCATTACCAATATACCAGCTGCCACTGGATCAATTCTTACTCATGGAGACTTCACAGGTGTCAGAGTTGAACTGTGCTCTAAGTTTTCTTTTCTTTTTCTTTTTTATTGTAGTTTAAATGAAGTTTACATTTCAAGTTAGTCTCTCATACAAAAATTTATACATACATTGTTATGTGACCCTAATTGTTGTCCCCATCCTGTGACAGCATACTCCTTCTTTCCACCCCTGATTCCCCATGTCCATTCAAACAGCTCCTAACCCTCTCTGCCTTCCCATCTCACCTCCGGACAGAAGCTGCCTGTTTAGTCTCTTGCATCTGCTTGAGCTAAGAGACACACTCCTCACGATTATCACTTTTTGTCCCACAGTCCAGTCCAATCCCTGTCTGAAGAGTTGGGCTCGGAAATTATTTTACTTCTGGGCTGATAGAGAATCTGGGGGCCATGCTTTCCAGGGTTCCGCCAGTCTCCATCAGACCATTAAGTCTGGTCTTCTTACTAGAATTTAAGTTCTGCATCCCACCCTTTCCCTGCTCCATCAGGGACTCTCTGTTGTGTTCCCTGTCAGGGTGGTCATTGGTGGTAGCTGGGCACCGTCTAGTTCTTCTGGTCTTAGGCTGATGAAGTCTCTGGTTTATGTGGCCCTTTCCATCTCTTGGGCTAATACTTTCCTTGGGTCTTTGGTGTTCTTCAATCTCCTTTATTCCAGGTGTTTGGGACCAATTGATGCATCTTAGATGGCCACTTGGAAGCTTTTAAGACCCCAGACGCCACTCACCAAAGTAGCATGCAGAACATTTTCTTAATAAGCTTTGTTATGCCAATTGACCTAGATGTCCCCTGAAAGCATGGTCCCCAGACTCCTACCCCTGCTACTCTGTCTCTCAAAGTGTTTGATTGTATTCAGGAAACTTCTTAGCTCTGATTTAGTCCAGTTGTGGTGACTTCCCCTGTAGTGTGTGCTGCCCTTCCCTTCACCTAAGATAATTCTTATCTAGTATCTAGTTAGTAAATAACCCACTCCATAGGTTTTCAATGGCTGATTTTTTGGAAGTCAATCACCAGGTCTTTCTTCCAAGGCACATCTGGGTGGACTAAAGCCACCAACCTTTTGTTAGCAGCTGAGCACATTAACGATTTGCACCACTATAAATCTCCTTGGACCCAGAGCCATCTTACCGCCTACATACACGCTCTCCAGCTGGTCTATGGGCTTTTCCTCCTCCCCAGAAAATGAGAGCAACTTGTCACCAAGGGAGAGCCTTGTGCCAGCCTAAATCACAAGAAGCTGCACACTCTCCAGGAGGCTAAGCACCTCTTTTGACAATCACATCACAGTCAATCCATTTGCCTACTGTCTGCCCAGAACTCATTTTCCTTGTGTGAGGGTCCCACCTCATCTAGTCCCAAGATAAGTCTCTTTAGAACAAGAAAATGCATGTCATTTGGCACAGAGCACTTACTGGGGCTTCCTGCCCTGTCCTTGTCTCTCTTTCTTAGCTGGAAGGAAGAAGCAGAAGAGAGGGTCCTCCTTCATGATAGTCTCCAACTTCTACAGGGTGAGTCGGGCTACCCCAGAGGCCACCCACCTTCTCTTCTGATGGTGTGGTGGCCTGCCTGCCACCACATTGCCAAGGACACGATGATTTCATTCCTCTGCCTGGGATCACCTCTGTAATCTGAGGAGTCTGTTTTCTTCCGAACAGGCCACAGGACTGTAGGGTAGAAAAGACCATTAGAAATGATCCCATCTGACTGTGTTGTTCTTCAGACTGAAACCCAGAGGGTAAAGGAACTTGCCCAGCACAGCAAATCAAAATATTAATGCCTGAGATCTTGTGCCCCAGAGTTGGCTGGTAGGTCTTGGGGACTTGTCAAAACGTCCACAAATTTGGGCGTGACTGAAAACGTGTTGTGAAGAAGTGCAGCCACAGACGAAGTGTTGCAAGAAGAGAGATTTCAGCACTTTCCGAGGGCAAGGCTGCCCCAAGGCAGAGTGGGCCCACTGCACTGGAGGCACGCAAATAGAGGAGGATGAATCATCCATTAGGAAAGTCCATTAGGGAGGTTAACAATGGGTGGAATTTGTCCACACAGCACTATGCTTCCTTCTAGTAATGAGGTTCTACAATGAGTCAGCCCTGGGCCCCATTTCTTATAGATTATGTCATCTTGGGCAAGTTACTGGATTTTGAGAGCAGTACTATCCAATAATACTTCCTGCAAGCTTGTGAGTGGGCATCTAAGATACATCTATTAGTTCCATCCCATCCAAAGCAAAGGAAATGAAGAAAACCAAAGACACAAGGAAAATATGAACCCAAAGGACTAAAGGACCACATGAACCAGAGACTCCACCAGCCTGAGACGAGAAAAACTAGATGGTGCCAGGCTACCACCAGTGACTGCTCTGTCAGGGATCACAACAGAGTCCTGGACAGAGTGGGAGAAATATGTAGAACAGAATTCAAATGCATGTAAAAAGATCAGGCTTACGGGTCTGACAGAGACTGGAGGAACTCCCGAAACTGTGGCCTCCGGCCACTCTGCTAACCCAGGACTGAAACCATTCCCGAAGCCTACTTTTCAGACAAAGATTAGACTGGCCTATAAAACAAAAAAATAACACACGTGGGGAACATGTTTCTTTGTTTAATCGAATATATGGGGCCAAATGCGCAAAATCTGTCCAAAAGCAAGACAAGAAGGCAGGAAGGGACAGGAACTGGATGAATGGACACAGGGAACACCGAGTGGGAAGGGGGGCATGCTGTCACATTGTGGGTATTACAACCAATATCACAAAACAATATGTGTATAAATTTTTGAATAAGAAATTAATTTGAGCTAAAAATTAAACCTAAAGCACAATAATAAATAAGTGGCAGGAAACCAGCTCAGTATGGACAGAGCTGGGGAATCACTAACATGGTAGCCTTTAAGAACCTAGACTTTTGTCTGTAGGGCTGTGTGACAGCTGGCAGCAGGAGGGCAAATACCTAAGTCCTAACCCAGACAGAATCCTGGCCAAGAACAAAGAGTGGTTACCTACCTTGCAGCAGGACTTTCCGCCTGCCTGGAAGAGAGGGCACCTGGAGTGTGGACTGAAAATGAATTCAAAATGGGAACTAAAAATGAGGGATGGCGTGGGGTGATGCAACTCAGGTAGAGACATGGGGGCTGCTGCAAGCACCCTGGACCCATTAAAATGATAAACGGTAAGATTCCAGAAGCAAAAAAAAAAAAAAAACTTTCTGCAATAATGATCCACTCTCTGCCATCCAGTATGCAGCCACTAGACACGTGTGGCTATTGAGCCCTTGAAAAGTGGCCCGTGTCATTGAAGAACTGAATTTTAAATTTAATTTAATAAATTAAATTTTAAATAAATGACCTCTTCTGAGCGTGGTGTCCTGCAACGCCAATGCTGAGCTTTACTCACTCACTCTCTTTCTCCTCCACCCCCAGGAGCAGCTGAACAAGCTGATGACCACCCTCCACAGCACGTCTCCCCACTTTGTCCGCTGTATTGTCCCCCATGAGTTCAAGCAATCAGGTGCATCGCAGGGAAGGGTCTCCCTGCTGGAAATCCTCGGGATCTGCAAAGTTAGTGTTTGTTCTGAAAATTGAGTCCACCTCTAATCACCAGGGCTGATGGGGGTAAAACAGGGCACTGAGAGGATCCCCAACAATGGATCACCCGAAAATAGTGCTCTAGCTGCTTTGTAAAACAGAGGGGTGCCCTCCCAGCCAGAAGTCACACTCAGAAGAGCCCTCGGGCTTTGGCTGAATTGTGGGAGACCTGGGATTCCAGGAGACAGCAATGGGAAGAGACTGGGGTGGATGACGTGGATGGTCAATTCAGCCCCCTTGAGTGGCCAGGAGTGGCCTGTACCATCCCAGGGTAGTTACTGTCCATCCTGTGCCCTCACTTTTGGCAGGCGTGGTGGATGCCCACCTCATCATGCACCAGCTGGCTTGCAACAGTGTCTTGGAGGGCATCTGTATTTGCAGGAAGGGCTTCCCCAACAGGCTGCAGTACCCAGAGTTCAAACAGAGGTGAGTGGGGTCTTCCTGAGGCCTTGAGTGCCCTTTTCAGTTTTCTATGGTACTGACTAGTCTATAAATAGAAAGTCCCATCGTAGCAGACACTATGGGTGCCGTATCAATACTGCCCCAAGCTACTCCTTTAGTATACGTTGACCTAACTTTCAGCCGACAGCACCTAGATTTGTTTGCTTTCTCTGGTTGCTGGAGCCTGCTTTGCCCCCCATTTGGCAGGCTGGAGGTGCCAGAAAGTAATGCCTCCCCACGAGCAGCTCTCAACCAATGACTGAGGAGAGATGGTATACAAGTACTTCAGCTCCCTCACCATGCTGGTGGGCATGTGCTCGTAAATGTTTAACAATAGGCTCTCTAGGTTTTGTTGGTGTTGTTTGTGTTCAAGCTCTGATTTGTAGTGTCTGCCTATTTCCATGGTATAAATACTCCCACCATGGCTGATTTCAAGCTACCAGTGTGACGTCACTGAATGTGGAGTTAGAAAGAGGTGCCCACAATCAGCTCTTGTAAGCCTGTGTGAGCTGGCTCTAGTATGTGACTGCTCAAGTGGTCCCCAGAAGGACTGCATTCCCATTGTGAATAGCAGCTTGATAACATGGCTTTTATTGACTTCCCTGCCCCACTTCCTCCCTCTGCCACCTCCCAAGTAAACTACTTGCACTTGAATCCTTGTCTCAGGGTCTACTTCTTACCCAAACTAAGACCCCCACCATAGGGATTGTCTTACTTCTGTCTTCCCTACTTGCTAGGACCTTAGATTGATGGAGCAGAAAGGGTCACTAAAGGCCATCTTGTCCAAAGCCCTCTGAAGTCCCTAATGGGCAAAGAACTTGTCCAAGATCACAAAGGGGGCTGCTTTGTCAGGGAAAGAAGCAGTTCTCCTATGCCTGGACCATGCTCTCTCCTCTACCCCAAGCTCTATCATGAAGGAAAGGACTGTGGTTTCTTCACTTCTAGGAACACTCCGTCTGTGATCCCCCAACTACACCAACGTTCACTCCCAAACTGTAGCCCTTGCCCCAAAGCCTCCTGTTGGTCCCACCCCACCTGCCTGGAGCATCTGTAAAATAAGCCTAACACTTGTCTCAAAGACCGTCTCATGGTGTGAACGGGCTTCAAGTGCTGCTGGCTTGGCTGTGATGATGACTGCTGGCTGTTTCTCTCCCACCAGGTACCAAGTGCTGAACCCCAATGTGATTCCTCAGGGCTTTGCGGACAACAAGAAGGCCTCAGAGCTACTGCTCAAGGCCATTGACCTGGATGTGAACGAATACAAAATTTGACATACCAAGGTAGGGTCTTCCAGGGGGTGTTCCTTCCTTATACCCACTCAGTCTTGTCCCAAGAAGGTGGCTTCAGACTGTGACTCCCAACTCAGCCATTGACCAGATGCCCGCCTTGGGCAAGTCCCTCAGCTGCTAGGAGACTTCGTTTCCTCCTCTGAAAAATCTGAGCTGATAATATCAATTGCATGGGATTCGGGGTGATTAGTAGTAACGTGTGAGAACCCAACTTAGAACAGAGTGGTACTTAGCAAATGGTAGACTATTTCTTTTTTTATTATTTTTTTATTGTGCTTTAGGTGAAAGTTTACAGCTTAAGTTAGTTTCTCATACAAAAATTTATACATACATTGTTATGTGACCCTAGTTGCTCTCCCTATAATGTGACAGCACACTCTGCCTTTCCACGCCAGATTTCCTGTGTCCATTCAACCAGCTCCTGTCCCTTTCTGCCTTCTCATCCCATTTCCAGACAGGAGCTGCCCATTTAGTCTCATGTATCTACTTGAACTAAGAAGCATACTCTTCACGTATCACTTTATGTTTTATAGTCCAGTCTAATCTTTGTCTGAAGAGTTGGCTTCGGGAATGGTTTTAGTTCTGCGTTAACAGAGAGTCTGGGAGCCATGTCTTCTGGGGTTCCTCCAGTCTCAGTCAGACCATTAAGTCTGGTCTTTTTATGTACATTTGAGTTCTGCACCCCACTTTTCTCCTGCTCCGTCAGGGACTCGGTGTTGTGTTCCCTGTCAGGGCGGTCATTGGTGGAAGCCGGGCATCATGGTAGACTATTTCTTAGTACTGTTGCTGTTAGCTGCCATTGAGTCGGACCCAACTCAGTGACCCCATGCACAACAGAACAAAAAGCTGCCTGGTCCTACACCATCCCCATGATTGGCTGTGGATCAGACCATTGTAATCCATAGGGTTTTCACTGGCTGATTTTCAGAAGTAGATCACCAGGCCTTTCTTCCTAGTCCATCTTAGTCTGGAAGTTACTCTGAAACCTATTCAGCATTATAGCAACACACAAGCCTCCACTGAGGGACAGGTGGTGGCTGCACATGAAGTGCATTGGCCAGGAATTGAACACAAGTCTCCTGCATGGAAGTCAAGAATTCTGCCACTGGAGCACCACTGCCCCTTAGTACTGTATGAGCCCCAAAGTTCGCAGAATAAAAAGAGCCAATCGGAATCAAGGTCTGGATTTGACCCAGCATGGCAGTAGGTACATGGGAGGGGCTGCGGGATGAAGTCACCGTAATCCCAGCCCAGCCACACAGCGAGCCCGCCCTAGCTGGCCAGTGAGTCGGGGCTGACTCACATGGAGGGACTGTCTGACCCTGACTCACAAGGCCTGGCTGCTCTCTGCTTCTATCCCATTTTCTGGCCCTGTAGAGTCCTGTTGGGGTGGTGAGGGTCAGCTAAGCCAGTGGTGTAGGTATCCATCTGCCACTGCACTCCAGTGTAACAGCCAGGGTCACACAGGAGGAGCACTGGCTTTACCTCTGTGTAGCCTGGAGCAATAACCTCTCCGAGCCTAGTGTGAGCCAGGCAGACACCATCTACACGGCCTGTTGTGGGGTGGTGCTCGTGAAAGCCCCCCGTGTGTGTGCACCCAACGCAGCTGGTGACTCACGCAACGCAGCTGGTGACTTACTGAGCACATACTGCATGCCAGACAGGGTTCTAGGCTCTGGGGATATGACAGTGACCAGGAGTCCCTAGCTCCCTAGGGCTTGCTTTGTACCACTCTAGGTTTGCACAATTGTGATACCACTCTAGAATCTGCCAGAACTGTTCACTTTGGCTTCCTTCACAATGAAGACATGCTGCCTGTGGCTCAACTGACTTATGGGGAACGCTTCAGGTTTTGTCACAGAGTCACGGAATACTTGAACTGGAAAGAACCTCAGAGACCAGTTGGCCCCTCTTTTCCCCACCTCACATTTGACATATGAGAAACTTAAGGGAACCCAGAGAGGGGATGGAGGTGACACACCCTGTTTCACAGAATGAGGGAGGACAAAGCTGGGGCCAGACACCACTGTTGCTGGTCATGGGCCCCATATCTGACACAGCCGTTGCCTGGGGAGAATGAACTGCATCCCGCTATTGCTCAAGGTGCAGCAGCTCAGGTCCAGGTGACAGCCTAGGATGCTAGGGCAGCTTGGCACCCACAGGGCCAGGTGGACTCTGGCAGCAGGGGCAGGACAGAGAACGGGCTGCCTGCAAACTGTGTCCCTCCTACCCCGGCTGCTGGCTCATGTGGTCCCCTCACCACCCACATGCTCCCCTTGCGCTCGTCAAAGACCAAACCTAACCCCAATGCATTTTGAAATAGCAAGAAGTACTTTATGAAATCAAGCCTGTATTTGTTTCCTGGGACTTCCATAACCAAGTTCCAGTGCTTTATAAATCCATTGCTGTTGAGTTGATTCGGACTCAAGGTGACCCCTTGTGTGTCCAAGTAGAATTATGTTCCATAGGGTTTCCAGTGGCTGATGTTTTGGAAGTAGATCGCAAGACCTTTCTTCCAGGGTGCCTCTGGGTGGATTTGAACTGCAAACCTATCGGTTAGTAGCCAAGTGCTTAACCACTTGTGCCACCCATGGGCTTGGGTGGTTTATTGTTTCACGGTTCTAGAGGCGAGGAGTCCAAATTCAAGGTGTTGGCAGGCCTGTGTTCTCTCTGAAGGCTCTAGGGGAAGATACTACTTGTCTCTCTTGGCTTCTGGTAACCCCAGGTGTTCCTTGGCTTGCAGCTGAACATAACTGCAATCTCTGGCTCCCTCTGTCTGTCTGTCTGTCCTCTTCGATAAGGATACCACTCCGTTTGGATTAGAACCTGCCCTACACCAGTATGGAGTCCTGGTGGTGCCGTGGTTAAAAGTTTGGCTAATAACCAAAAGGTCAGCAGTTCAAATCCACCAGCTGCTCCTTGGAAACCCTATGGGGGCAGTTCAACTCTGTCCTGTAGGGTCGCTATGAATCAGAATCAACTCGTCAGCAATGGGTTTGGTTTGGGTTTTTCTACTCCGGTATGAGTACACTCTTTGCCAGCCTGGCTGCCTGGCATTCACCATAACAAAGACGATTTTAATGATAGATGACATGTTACTTAGAGCTTTGCTGGTTACAGATGTACTTTTCCATCCATTATCTCATTTAATCCCTATAGCAACCCTCTGAGCAAGGGACCAGCAACCCATTTCACAGACGAGAAGCTGAAGCTTTAGGATGTATCCCAGCTAGTCAGTGCAAAGCCAGGACCTGACTCTGGGAGAATCCAACATGCACCCAGGCAAGAAGAAACAGATGCTGAGGCTGGCCGCGGGCCTGCTGTTAGAGGTGGGCAGATGAGGCCAGCTATTTCCGAGGAGCCTCAAGCATCTGCAGCAGACGGGGCTTTTAACTTTTGTGTGTGCTTTAGGTGAAAGTTTACAGAGCAAATTAGTTTCTCATTCAACAGGACTTTTAACTTTTAAGGACCCTTCTGACCCTCTAGGTCTTTGATTTAACCCCCCTGCCCTATGGCTGCCGTGGCGTAAAAGCTGGGCTTTCTTAGCCAGGTGTCTCTCCCCCAAGGTGTTCTTCCAAGCGGGCATTCTGGCCAAGCTTGAGGACATGCGGGACGAGCGTCTGGCCAAGATCATGACCACATTGCAGTGCCGCCTCCGAGGCTTCCTCATGAGGGTCGAGTTCAAGAAGATGCTGGAAAGAAGGTCGCCCTCACTGACACCAACAGGGAAGGGCCACTGAAGCCACCCAGAATGACCGGGCACCACACACACACAGTGGTCAACTCCATTAGCCACATGGCGTGGTGGGATGAGAGGTGGACGTCAATGTCTTTGCTAGCCCAAAGGACACTGTTTGGGGACCAACAAATAATCTTTCTTTTTACAGACTCAGACGGAGGGACCTTTACGGTTCACAAGCTGCTTTCACAGCCTTCCCCTTCCTTGATCCTTAGAAGGAAGCTGTGAGAGGGCCGTGGTAGGCCTGGTACCCCATTTTACAGACGAGGAAACTGAGGTCAGAGGGGTTAAGGGACTGGGCCAATTTCTTGTAGGAGTCAGGATTGTTGTTGTGTGCATCGAGTCGATTCTGACTCATAACAACCCCATGTGACAGAGTAGAACTGCCCCATAGGCTGTAATCTTTACAGAGGAGCCCTGGTGGTGCAGCAGTTAAGAAATCGACTGCTAACCAAAAGGTTGGCAGTTCAAATCCACCAGCCGCCCCTTGGAAACCCTGTGGGGCAGTTCTACTCTATCCTATAGGGTTGCTATGAGAATGGTTTTGGGTTTTTTAATTTTTACAGAAGCAGACCACCACAACTGTCTCCTGTGGAGCCGCTGGTGGATTCAAACCACCAACTTTTCCATTAGCAGCTGAACACTTAGCCATTTGCACTACCAGGGCTTCTGGTGATTAGGACTCAGGAATTCTCGCTCCAAATACCTGCCCTTAGAATCCAGCCATTTCCTAAGATGATAATTAAAAAACAGCTCGGTCCATCCCTGCTGGCTGTGGGCAGAAGACTGGGGAGGCTGGCAGTATCATTTCCCATGTTGTATAACCATCATCTCAAACAGAAACTCAGTAGTCCTCAAGCAATAATGCTCCATTGCCTCCTCTCCCCGCCCCGTAACCACCAATAAATTGTCCCTACGCACTTGCCTAATCTATATATTTCATATAAGTGGGTTCATACAATACTTGTCCTTTTGGGTCCGGTTTATTTCCCTCTGGATAATGTTTTCAAGGTTTATCCAGGACGTGGCATGTATCAGGACTTCATTCCTCTTTATGGTTGAGTACTACTCCGTTGCACGGATAGACTACTTTTTGTTTCTCCATTAATCTGTTGATGAACCTTTAGGTTGTTTCTACCTTGTGAATATCGGGAACAGTGCTGCAGTGAACATTGGTCTACACGTATCCGTTTGAGTTACCGCTTTCAAATCTTTTGGGTATACACCTAGGAGTGGACCTGCTGAGTTGATACCTTCATTTTAACCCACGCAACCGCTGGTTCTTTTTGCAGAATTGGCCTGAGAGTCATCCAGGGGAATGTACGCAAGTTCCTGCAGCTGCGTTTCTGGGGCTGGTGGAAGCTCTTCAATAAGGTGAGGGCCGAGGGGCCGGGCCAGCTGCCTGGGAGCTGGGGTCCTCGGTTCTGGGTGGAGGCACCTCATGAGGCTAGGAGGCCACAGGAATAGACTGAAAATGAGGACACTTTGGAGACAAGATGCAGGAGTCTAGCTACCACCCAGACAGGCTAATTCCTCCCTAAGATAAATCATGATGCGTCTTCCCCACCTTCCACCTCATCTCTCAAAATAAAATCCATTTAGGATGGAGAGAGCTTCCCTATCCCCCTCCAAAAAAAAAGTGGGCTTGGTTATCGGCCCCTTGCACCTGGGCACGTTGAGACATTTCAACTCCTCCCATGAGTCATCAGGCTGGAGGGCGCTCCAGAAATCACGGGTTTGGCCTCTCAGGTTCTTCTGAGACAGTAGTGAGGTCAGTGTGAGTCAGCCAGTGGAGGGGCTGTGGGCACCCCAAGCAACCTGGTGCTGTTGTACAATGCAGGAGGCCAGGAGCCACCTACTCCATGCAGGTTAGACCACACTTGGGTACTGGCATCCTGCTCTGTGGCCATCACTAAACGGGAACGGGCCCTGGACAAGGCTCCTGGTGGTGCAAACAGTTTGTACTTGTTGACTTGACAGCAACACGGCAATGGCTACCAACCTAAAGGTTGGTGGTTCGAACCCACCCGGCAGTGCCCTCCTGGGAAAAGAATCCATTGACTCAGGAAATATTCACAGACAGCCTGTCCTGCCCCCTCTGCCGGGTGCTGTCAGGACATAGACAGGCAGGAGGGAGACCTTGAGGAGCCTGCAGCCCAGAAGGGTGGAACAATACAGGCAACAGGACCTCATCGCCCAGGCGCTCAGAGGCAGGTGAGAGGTGCCAGATGCACTCAGTGGTCCAGGCAGATGCTGCGGGTACAGACCAGGGGCCACTGCTCCCAATGGGAGCCAAAGAAGGCCTAGCCCTGCAGAGATGGGGCAGCAGGGGCCAAGGCCAGAGGCAGGAAGTAGCCATTGAGTCAGGGCAGAGGGCAAGGCCTCATCACAGAAGGCCAGGCTGAGAGTTGGGACTTCATGTTGCAGAGAAGATGAAAAAAGAGAGGAGGAGGAAAAGGAAAGGGAAAGGAAAGAGAGGGGAGGAGAGGAGAGAAGAGAGGAATCAGTAAGGGTGAAAAGGAAGGAAACCAAAGCCAGAGAATTTAGCCAGGCCTCCTGGTGCATACATACCGAATGGAGTGGATGTGAGGCTTGGGCGCACCTAGATGCTGAGGACACCTCAGCTCATGTCTCTCAGGCTCCAAGCGCATCCTAAGAATTGGTCCTAAGTAAGATGGCCCTTCTGCATGGAGGGTAGGGATGCTCTACAGAAAGGAGCTCGGCCTGTCGGCATCTGTGTGGAGAGATTCCAACCTCCCAGCTACAGCAAGAGCTGGTGTCCACCGGGACGGGGGTGTGAACTCACAGCTGCAGAGCCCGAGGCAGAGACCTCATGCCCCACCACCTGGCTCCCTGGGAAAGAAAGCCCCCCTCCTAACTCCTCAATGATGTTGCTTGTCGCCAGGTCAAGCCGCTCCTGCATGTGGCTCGGCAAGAGGAGGAGACGAAGGCCGAGGAGGAGGAGCTGAGGGTGGCCATGTCCAAGACGCAGGAATTGATGAGTAAGGTCAAGGACCTGGAGGAGGAAACAGCCACGCTTAGCCAGGAGAAGAATGACCTCACCATCCAGCTGCAGGCTGTACGTGGGGTCCCCCAAGGGAGGGTAGGGGCTAGGGGACATTGGCAGCTGCCCAGCACCCCAGGGTGGTTGGGAGTCAGGGCCACAGAAGGAAGACAGGAGAGACGGAGGGAGAGGTGAGCTTTTCTGAAAAATCTGTCTGGCCCAACCACTGGGAAATTCCCCAGCCCTTTCTTTCCTTTCATTGCAAAACCACCCTTGAACCAACTATCAGAAAGTCTCCACCGAATTCCTGTTGGCCCACAGCAGCTGGCTGGGTACTCGCAGATACCGTCCGTGTGTCGAGGGATGAGGCTGAGGCAACATGAAGTGGTGGCAAGAGCGCCCCCTGGAGCCAGAGCCCCGCTCTCCGAATGCCTTGCCTTCTGAGCCTCTCTTTTCCTTGCCAGCCAAGTGGGAACCCCATGAGGAAGAACACAGGAAATGGATCACATAGGGTGCCTGACAGGCATTCACCAGGTGCCTCTCACTCCAGCATTCCAGTATGGAAACCTGTGTTCACGGATATGATCCGCTAGGGCTTTCTTGTTCCTTCTCTAATTTGACCCTCCCAACCAACTTATAAGGAACCTGATTTTCACTTGTAACATACAGAGGGAAAAACTCAGCTTGCAGACAGTTAGAGACTTGGTTAAGGTCACAAGCCCACCAGCAGAAAACCCCTGACTGGAAGGGATTCAAGCCTTTTCTGCGCTGCATGGCCAGCTCCTGAGTGCGCCGAGGGTGTCCAGCTCTCGCACTTGTCCTTCCATTTTTCCCAAAGTCACCTCTAATATCATTTCCCTGTAGCCTCTCAATACCTCTGAGACACCACTCGAATCAATATCTGCATTTTATATTGGGGAAGACTGAGGCCGAGTCAGACAACAGTAATAAAATTTACCTTCCATTCCAAGCCACCTCCACGTGTTCCGTCCCTTTTACACCTCACAATGATCATTGCCCTCATTTTAAAGACAAATAATTGATTCTCAGTAAAGTTATGCCACTTAACCAAAAGTTATGCTGCTGGTCCGGTCTTTTGACTCAGCGGCCAGTGCTTTTTTATACCTGACCCCATTTGGGGGAGACCCCAGTGGATACCACACTGGAGAGAGTATCAGATCAGAGCTATGAGGCCCAGGTTGTCCTTCCTCTGCCATTTACTGTCCCTGTGACTTACAACGCACTCCCTCTGGGCTTCCGTCCCCTCCTCTCTGAACAGGAGCAGATAGTAATACCTGCCTTGCTTACTTCACAGGTTGTTGTGAGGAGAAACGCTGTATGCTAAATGGTTCCTTAACACAAAAGGGCTAAAGCAATGGTGTCATTGGGGCAGGTATCCCACCCTCCACTAATGGATGCAAACGTGAGCTTACCCGGGGGGCCAGCAGTTGGGGTGGCGGAGCCCGAACTGACCACAGTGTCCTGCCTGAGCACCCTCGATTTCTCCTGGACCCCTGCTTCCAAAACCTTAATGTGCATCTGGATGCCTCGGGGCTTGTGACATTGCACTTTTGGATGCAGAAAGTCGGGGGCGGAGGAGGGGGGGCTTGAGGTTCTGCATCCTAAGCAGCTCCCAGGTGATGCTGCTGGTCCAGGCACCAGCTCTGAGCAGCGAGGTCTTCCTACACTCTGCTGTGTCGTACAGCTACAATGGAGCTCAGAGACAGCCCAGCCCCCAGGACACATTTGTTTGGGGACTGTAAGGCCAAGGCTTGTCCGCCATCTTGGTGGTGGTGTTGGGTCACTTGCAGGAGCCTGGAGCAGGATTTTACTGCCCCCACCCTGACTGTGGCTCTTTTCTAACAAGAACAAGAGAACCTGATGGACGCAGAGGAGCGCCTCACCCAGTTGATGAAGACCAAGATGGAGCTGGAGAGCCAGATCTCCGATATGGGGGAGCGGCTAGAGGAACAGGAAGGCATATTGGCCTTGCTGAGCGCCACCAAGCACAAGCTGGAGGGGGAGATGAGCGACCTGCAGCGCGACCTGGAGCACCTTGAGACCACACTGGCCAAGACAGAGAAGGAGAAGCAGGTGAGGCCTACCATGCTCCTCTCGGGCCAGGGCACCGTCAGCCACTAACCCTGCAGACAGTCACCAACCCGTAGCCTGCAGAGTCCTGCTGCCCTTACGGCAGCCACAAATGGCCTTTTTAATGTAAATTAATTCAAAGCAATTTAAAATTCAGTTCCTCTGGCCACACCTCAAGGGCTCAGTAGCCACATGTTGCCAGTGCTGCTGTATTGTATGGCTTAGACAGAGAACATTTCCACAGGTGCAGAGAGAGTTCTACTGGGAAGATCTGATAAAAGGAAAAAAAGCTGGTGCCATCATTGGGACAGCCACACAAACGCAAGGACGTGAGGCCTTGCTAGCCCTCCCCGTGACCAGGATTTCCCCCCACCAGCTGTGCCCCACAGCAGCTATACTGTCTGGGCCAGCCTGCATCCACTCAGCCTCTCTGGGGCCCTTCACAGAATGTTCTTCCCTTCAGCACCATGTCTACCCTTTCCCCTTCCCAAAAGCCTCTCTGGCTCCTGACACCTTCTGACTAACTCTTGGCCTCACATGTGGTCGGGTCTCCACACAGGCTAAGGTAGATTCTGCCCAAACCTGTGCTTTTCAAACTTTGAGGTGCACCCAAATCAGCTGGCTCTTGGTAAGATGCAGATCCTGGTCCGCAGTTCTGGGTGTCCAGGCAATACCACTGCTGACGGTCTGAGGACCAGGCTTTGAGTAGCAGAGGCAAGAATTGGTGGTTCTCGCTGCTCGCTTCTACCCCCAGGACCTGACTCAGTTGGTCTGGGGTGAGCCCTGGCATTGGGATTTCTCCCAGGTGACCCTGAGTGCTGAGGACCACCACAGAGCAGATGCCTACCCTGTTCTCCTCCTTACAGAGGCTGTTTCTAGCTATAAACACCCCGTCTCGCATTTCCACCCCGGTTTCCAGGCCCTGGAGCATAAGGTCCACACCCTGACCAGGGACCTCTCACTCCGTGAAGACTCCATCGCCAAGCTCCAGAAAGAGAAGTGGGCTCTGGAGGAGCTGCACCAGGTAGAGCCACCTGGCCCTCCCCTGGGCGGGAGGTGGAGCTCAGAATAGGCCACATTGTTGGGGAGACTGGAGACCTGGTTCAAATCCTGGCTTTGCTGCCCCTTAGCTAGGGGGCTTCAAGGAAGTTAGGGGATCTCCCTAGCTCTCCCTTCATCAGTACAAGGGTGGGGCCACATCTTGCTGCCTTCATTACAGGTTTGTGATAAGCAGGGTGACCGTGTGATTGTCGCCCAAACTAGGACAGTTTTGAGAGTGGAAGGGGAGCACTTAGTAATTATGCTGAGAGCGTGAGTCAGGGTGGTCCCAGGCAAAATGGGAGGTAGAGTCCAGAGTTCCAAGGATGAAGTGGAGTGAGTACGTGGGAGTGTCTTATAAGCTCTAAAGCCCCAGAGACCCTGATGCATCATTGTAACAACAGGCCACAGGTTCTTGAGGTTATGAGGAGACCCACCCCCCATTTTCCAACGGCTGCCATTAAGAGTTCAGGCTCCTGAAAGCAGAGCAAGCTCCCTCAGGCCGCAAATGCTAATGGGCCAAGGAGCACGGCTTAGCTCTGAGGACACCAGGTGCAAATGGCAGGTGGAAGCCCAGAGCCAGATAGTGGTCCCTCGTTCCTATGTTTGCTGACACCTCGAATCTACAATGAGTCCCCTAAACTGCTCTCTCTGCTGCCTCTGGAATTACCTCCTCTTAGACTGCGATTCTAAATTCTATCAGACCCCCTTTCCCCCCTCAAAAAAAAAAAAAGTTGTCATGGAGTCAGTTCTGACTCATGGCGACCTCATGTGTGTCAGAGTAGAACTGTACTCCATGGGATTTTCAGTGGCTGATTTTTTGGAAGTAGATCACCAGGCCTTTCTTCCAAGGCACCTCTAGGTAGACTCGAACCTCCAACCTTTCAGTTAACAGCTGAGCAAACTCTTTGCACCACCCGGGCACTCCGTCAGACCCAAAGTCTCCTTTTATAACACATATTTTGGAATGTTCTCTTACTATCCCAAAATAAAAATTGTAAACAATACGACTAATACATAACTTCAAAAAAGTCCATGTAATGCCCTTTGATATAAAGGAGAGATAAATGGGATGTAATTTAGAATAAATAACGTGGCTGTCAGGCTGTAGGAGACACAGTGAGCAGGGAGCTGGGACACCACAAATGCAGGTGGCCTGGGAGAGTTGGGGACTCAGACAGCAAGGTGGGGCTGCTATCACTGGTGCAATTTTACAAAACGGAAGAACTCTTGGTAAAGTTTTGAACAACAAAGAAATCTCTCAGTTTTTATGGTAGATCATTCTTTAAACAGTGTATGGTAAATAAATGAAATTTGTGCAGCTACATGTAAAGTGGTGCTGGGTTCTAGGTTCAGAGGTTTTAAATGGTTGTTTTACTCCCATGAGTACTTGGGTGGGACTTTGATCGTGTGGATTGCAGATTTATTATCCTTCATGGTGCCGATTTTCCAAAGACAGGTGGGACATCTAGCATCCCTGGGCCCACCCGCTCAATGCCAGTGGGGACCCATCATTGTGACAACCAGAAGCACCCACAGGTTTCCTATGGGCCCTGTGGGGGAATGAGAGCCTCTCACCTCCGGAGCGCCCACTTGCAGCTGACAGATGCTTGGGTCTGCCTGGCCTCATCCAGTGCCCAACAGGAGCAGGTGCCCTGTAGTTGAAGTCACCTTAACTCCCAAAGTCCTGGGGCCAGTGGAGAACCAGGTCTGTTTAGCTGCAATGCCTCATGGGCCACACATGTGTATCTTTCTTTCCAGAAAACCCTGGACGACCTGCAAGCTGAAGAAGACAAGGTGAACCACCTGACCAAGAACAACAGCAAGCTCAGTACTCAGATCCACCAGGTAAGGCCCAGGTGCTGGGGCTGCTTCTACAACCCGGGGTCAAGCTGGCCCCTGGGCTCAGTCCTCAGACAAGTTTTGGGCACTGGACTGACACATCCCTCAAGGCAAGAGGTCCTTTCAGGAGCCACGGCCAAGGAGCTAGGCTGAGTACAGCTCCGTATTGCAGTGGGCCTCACACTGCCCTCCACTAACTTCTCTTGCGTTTCTTGTCTCCATAGCTGGAGGACAACTGGGAGCAAGAAAAGAAGATCCGGGCGGAGGTGGAGAAGGCTCGCCAGAAAGCCGAGAGTGACTTGAAGACGACCATCGATAACCTCAATGAGATGGAGAGGTCCAAGCTGGATCTGGAGGAGGTGGTAAAAAAGTATGTCTATGTGGTCATTCATTTCATTTCCTAGGGAGTCCCTGGGTGGTGCAAATGGTTAACATGCTCAGCTACTAGCCTAAAGGTTGGCAGTCTGAGCCCACCCAGAGGTGCCTCAGAAGAAAGGCCTGGAGATCTACTTCCAAAAAAATCAGCCACTGAAAACACTATAGAGCAGTTCTACTCTGACACACATGGGGTCGCCATGAGTCAGGATAGACTAGCGGTGTTTCCTGCATGCGCAGATGGTAGTGCGTGTCCTGAGCATCTGCTGCACGCCCGGCACGGGGATACAGGGAGGACAGGGAGGAGTAGGCATTTCCCTGTCCGCAGCAAGCCCCCAGGCTCATGCCATGCATGTTGGGAGCTGGAATGGAGACTCGTAGAGCTGCTCTGGGAGCCCTGAAGACTAAGCAATGCATCTGCACCAGGGACAGGGAGGCTTTGTAGAAATATATGAACCGGGATCCCAAAGATAACAAGGAAATGAGGGACTATTTGTCAATACCACTCTGGCCCCAGTAATTCTCCTCCTAGGTATTGCATTGCCCCCAAAGACTTAAAAGCAGGAATTCAGATACATACTTGTGCACCAATGTCAATTACAGCACTATTTGCAATACCCAAAAGGTGGAAATGATCCAAATGTCCATCAACAGTTGAATGGATAAACAAAATACGGTACATCCATACGATGGAATATTATTCAGCCGTCAAAAGGAATGAAGTCCTAATACATGCTACAACATGGATAAAACTTGGAAACATACTGAGTGAAAGACGTCAAAGGACAAATATCGTATGATCCCACTTACATGAAATATCTAGAACAGGCAAATGCATAGAGACAGAAAGTGGATTAGCGGTTACCAGAGGCTGGGGAGCTAGGGCAATGGGGAGTTATCGATTCTTGGGTACAGAGTTTCTGTTTGGAGTGATGAAAGTGTTTTACAAATAGATAGTGGTGATTGTACAACATTGTGAATGTCATTAACGCCACTGAACTGTACACTTAAAAACGGTTAAAATGGCAAATTTTATGTTATATATATTTTACCACAACTTAAAAATATATATCACTCTGGCAGTAATGTGGAGGAGAGATGGAGTGGAACAAAAGTGTAGGCAGGAAGACAGTGGGAGGCTCCAGGCGAGAACCTGAAGCTCAGTAGCCGAGGGGGTGGACTGAGGAGTCAAATGAGGAAATGGTGCAGGAGGTAGAATTCGGTCAGTGTGTCTTTGAAGTCTGTTTTACTAAGGCAGTTTTAAAACATTGCAGACTGCCATGAGCTGCGTGTGTAGCTGAAATCCATATTTCAGCTCATTTCTCCTGTGGCCCGCTCAGAAACTGTGACTCTGCCTACCCTCCTTGCCTGCTTGGTTTCTGGCATATTAGCCCCCACACGTGGCTCCTTGGGCCTGGAACTCACACAGCAGCAGGACGGAGCCTTATGTGAAAAGTTTCTGGAGGAAAATTTTTGCCAAAATATCAAAGCGTTAGTGTGATTCTGCAGCCCCTAGAATGTAAGCTGCGCCAGCGCTGTGATTTCTGTCCCGTTTGTTCACTGATGTGTCCCCAGAACCCAGAACCACGTCTGGCACGTAGTAGGTGCTCAAGATTAATAAATGTGTGAATGAATGAGTGAATGAGTGACAAGCCTGCGGCGCAGATGCCAGGGTCTGACTTCTCCATGGGTAAGAAGGTCATTTCCCTGCCTGTCGCCCCAGAAGGCCGGGGTCGGTAGTGGGGTGTGAGGAGTGGGTTTCAGCAGGCTCATGGCCCTCTCGGAGGCAGCCCAGGCTTGTTCACTCTCTAGCTTGCTGGTCCATCCTTACAGTCTGCTCAGGAGACCAAACCTTCTGTTAAAGGCGAGACATGGAAATCAATTCTGGCAACTCTAAATCTGAGGACAAGCAGTCTCTGAATTCCACCCTGCAGCGGAAACTGAAGGAACACCAGGTGTGTCCTGGAACAAGCAGCCCAAACTCTGCTTGTGAATTCCCTGAGCCATTTGCATAGGAACCCTGGTGGTGCAGTGGTTAGAGCACTCGGCTGCTAACCAGGTCAGCAGTTTGAATCCACCAGCTGCTTTGCTGGAGAAAGACGTGGTAGTCTGCTTCTGGAAAGATTACAGCCAAGAAAACCCTTGGGGTACTTCTGCTCTGTCCTATAGGGACACTATGAGTCAGAATCAACTTGATGACAACAGGTTTAGTTGTTATTTGTTTTTTTCTCTTTTGAGCTCTTTGCACGAATCAGCAGAGTCAAATCCAAAGTCCTCACCATGGCTACAAGGCCCTCCACGATCCAGCCCCTGACCTTGTCACCTCCTATCCTCCCACCATTCTGTCTAGCCGTGCTGGCTCCTTGCTGGGCCTCCAACACGCCAGGCTCCTTCCTGCCTCAGGACCTTTGCACTTGCTCTCTGTGCTGCTTCTCTCTCCTTGTGATGGTGGCCGTCATATGCTTAGCTCCCTTCTCTCCTCTCAATCCTAAAAGGCTAAGTGGGTAACTTCCTAACTTCACAGGGAAGAGATGAATCCCCCCTTGCTCTGTCTGTTTGTGTGTCTGCTAGGCCCGCATCAAGGACCTGGAGAAAGAACTGGAAGCCAAGAGGGCAATGAAAGCCAAGGTAAGTGAAAGGCTGTTACCTCTTCTCAAGTCAAAGCATCTGCTGCCAGCGGAAACCCGACCATAAGTAGAACTTCTACTCAGGAAAACAATAGAGAGGAGGACAGGCTTCCCAATTAAAAGGCCTAGTTGTTTCTTGAGCACCTACTATGTGCTGGACACTGCAGCATGTACACATTAATTAAGATGCAAGACACAAAGATGCTACATGTGGTGTGAGCCCAGAGAGAAGAGCTAGTTGCGCCTGGGGTGGGCGGATGGGGCAACGTTCGAGTGGGAACTCAGACACTCAGTTCAACACCGGAGAGCCTGACACAGGGGAGGAATTTGCAGGCAAAGGGAATAAAATAGCCCCTTCCTGCACAGGTACAGAGGTGCAGAAGTAAAGGGCATATGTTAGAAAGAGCAAAGTGAGGAAGGAGCTTGAGGGCGGGGATCCCAGAGAAGGGTGAGGCCAGAGCTGGTGGAAGATAATTCACACTGGTGCAGGGAGGCATGCTTTATTTGGATGTAGGGTTCCAGATTGAGCCAAAGTGGGCTGGGGGCTTAGGATGGGCACTAACACCCACCCAGTGCAGGGAGAAGGAGGGACAGTATCCTTCACTGAGTGGATGGGGTGGCAGGGAGGACACAGGACCACCCCAGTCCAGGCACATACACCCCTACCTCACAGACACAATGTAGGAATCTCTGTCTTGACTAGAGAAAGGGGTTCATAGACAGCTTAATCTGTATGACTTTCTTTCCCAAATGTACCCCAGGTGGAAAAACAATACAGCGACTTGTCCCGGGACCTTGAAGACCTCAGCAACAGGCTGGAGGAGGCTGGTGGAGCCACGTCTGCTCAGGTACCCCTCCTGGGGGCCAGGACCCCAGCTCTGCCTGCAGGGAGACTCCCAGTGATGAGTAGTAGATAAAGACCGGCTATTTCTTGCTGAATTCCTGGGGCTAACTTTAGGAGAAACCAAGGAATAGAGGCCAGGACTGTGAGGAGCCGAGTGGGTCCACTTTGTTCTGGGCTCAGTGGGGTTGATGGACGCAGGGGGCCTTGAGTGACCCAAGGGCGCCCAGCTGCTAAGCCCTCTTGTCCCCACCCCATGCCCAGATCGAGCAGAACCTCAAGCGGGAGGCCTAGCTGCTGAAGCTGTGGCGCAAGCTGGAGGAGGCGGCCCTGCAGAGCGAGGCGACGGCCTCCACACTGCGCAGAAAGCACATGGACTCCATGGCCACGCTGACAGAGCACGTGGAGAACCTGCAGAGGGTCAAGTCCAAGCTGGAGAAGGACAAGCAGGTCATGAAGGCTGAGATCGACTACCTCAACGCCAGCATGGAGACCATGCAGAAGTCCAGGGTAACGGAGACCTTCTCCCCCAGAGCCACAGCGACGCTGGCCAGGCCCGCACCAGGCCCGAGGCATGTTCTAGATGCTGTGAAGGAAGCCAAGATGAATCCATCACAGACCTCACCCAAGTTTACATGACCTAACTGTGCCTCCATTTCCTCGTCTGTAAAATGGGGGTAATAATCCCTACTCCATAACACCGTTGTGGGAGCTAGAACAGTCCCTGGCACATAAGAAAAGTTCAGTAAATGTTAGCTATTATGACTGTTACTACATTATTATGCCCATGTCCTCAAGGGGTTAGAGACTACTAGGAGAGGGATAACAAATGCATAAATCACCACAATGCAAAGAAAAAGTGATGTGTGATGTATTAGGGTTCTTCAGAGAAACATAACCAATAGGATATATATACGTACGTACATACACACATATGTATACATGGAAAGAGAGAGAGAATATTTATTTTAAGGAACTGGCTCATGGGATTGTGGGGGCTGTGCATCCAAAATCCATAGGTCAGACACCAGGCTGGAAACTCCAGCAGGATGTCTGTTACAGTTTTGAGGCAGAATTCCTTCTCTCCAGGAAACCTGTTTTTACTTTTAAGGCCTTCAGCTGATTGGATGAGGCCTACCCACGGTATCAAGAATAATCACCTTGACTTAGAGTCAATTGATCGTAATGTTAGCCACATCTACAAAATGCCTGCACAGCAACCCCTAGATTATGGTCTGATTAAATAACTGGGTCCTATAGCCTAGCCAAGTTGACACATAAAAGTGACCATCACACATGACAAAGAAAATCAACAAGCGGTTCAACATGCATGTGTCAAGCGCCTGCCACATGAAGAGCACCATCGTGACTCGGCGGGGGCTCCACAGGTGAGCAGAGCGACCCACGCCCCAGGGGTCCCGATTCCAGCCAACCACAGTGTTCCCAAACTTCAGACCCTCTTGAGGTCTCTTCCTAGTTCTACAGACCTCGACACTAATGTTAGCATTTTCCCTTAAACTGGCCCACTGTGTCTTCTTACTGGGTGTGGTCCGCAGGGGTCTGGAGTGGCTACAAAGGGAGATGGGCCAGAGAGTGAGGGCATGGTGCCAAGCTAAGGCTCTGGGTTCGTGTTGATGATCACAGTGAGCCAGGGACAGGGCCGTGTCAGCTTTGTGTTCTAGAAAGACTAGGCGCAGCAGCCTGGAGGCTGCGCTGGAAGAACAGAAAGGTAGGCAGGGCACTAGTCCTGGTGGGAAGCCAGGAGGGCTTGGCCTGGGCCTCCTCACCCCTGCACTGGGTTCATTCTTCCCAAGCAGATGAACGCCGAGGTCCACATCCGGAAGCTGGAAGATAATTTGTCGAAAGCCAACTCCAAGGTGGCTGAGCTGGAGAGAAACCAAGTGGAAATCAATGCTATCAGGACCGCCTCCAAGGTGTGCTCACCACCCCCCACACGCCCTCGCAGCTTCCCTGAGGAAGAGTGCATGGAAAGGAGTTGGGGTCCCACAAGGAGACAAAGGAAAATACCTGGGTCCCCTCCCCAGAGCTCTCATCTCCTTGTGATAAGACAATACTCCACCCACTGAGCATTCTAGGAGTCCCTGGGTAGTGCCAATGGTTAGCAGGCTCAGCTGCTAACCAAAAGGCTGGAGGTTCAAATCCACCTAGAGGCGCCTCAGAAGAAAGGCCTGGTGATCTACATCCAAAAAATCAGCCATTGAAAACCCTATGGAGCACAGTTCTACTCTGACACACATGGGGTTGCCATGAGCCATAATCCATTCGATGGCAAATGGTTACAACTGGTTGAGTATTCAAAGTAATGTCTTCACGTTGTAAAGCAGAAAACACTATTTAAAGCATTTTCATATCAAGTCTCTCAGCTGCCCCTGTGCTGTCAGGAGGAGGGTCCTTCGTGCTGGAAAAATATACAATTTTCAAACATTTTAAAATGTGACTCACATACATACTAATATAAAGTGAACATGTGTCAAAGATTTATTTAACTCATTAATAAGAGAACCAGAGAATTAGTAAAGCAATCTTCAAAGCGTACTTTAAGGGACAGATTTACATAGTCAGGAGATGAATGCTAAACTAAAATAACTTTGCTAAATTAAATGCAAAACTGGTTACTGTCCTACAGGACAATAACACTGTAACTTCTGGGTTTTTGGTTTTTTGTTTTCCTCCTACCAGCAGAAATCCTTTGCTTCTCTAGGACAAAAATAATTTGCAACTTATCAATATACAAGCTAACATCGAACTTTGTAGAGGCTGGGCCCTAATCAAGGGTAAACAGTCAAAGGTGCATTCCCCCAGAGAATTAAATACTCCTTAGAAGGATAGGCCTGTTAGACAGGGCTCCGGTGTGACATCAAGAGAACTTGCAGACATCCTTTTGCCTTATTTTCCACATTTGGAACACTTTCAAAAATCAATACCCCCAAATAAAAATGCTCTATATCTTGTTGGAGGTGTGGGTTATACAGGTTTATGCATTTGTCAAAAATCATAGTAGTGTGCAATTAAGATCTCTGAATTTCACTGTATGTCAATTGTAACTCAATAAAATATATTCTGTATATATTTTTTAAAAACCCTCCATTTTATGGATAAGAAAACTGAGGCCCAGTGAGATGAAGTGACTTGCACAGGGTCACAAAACTAATGGCTTACAGAGTAGATTGGAAATTCTTGCACTTTCTCTTTGGCTCATGAGCCTCTTCCTGGCCTCTGGCTCTGACAAACACTTCACAAAGAACACAAGTGTAGGTTCTGGAACTGTTACATTCTACAGTTCTCAGCCCCACTGTTTTCTTCAAACTCCTTTGCTGAATCTCTTGATAGCTATGGGCGGGGGGCCAGTTGGGGGAGTGCTTCGCTATCTGGAGACCCCTTACCCCATGCAAGTCACCTGGATGTTGGTGACCCTACGCTTGCTCCCCACCTGGGATCACCTAATTTGGGTGGCCAGTATGGTGGCTCACTGAAATTCCCAGTTGGCCATCTCAGCTGGCCAAGCCGCCATACTGAGTACTTTAGGAGCAATGTCTTGGGGGACTGAGGATCTGTCTGGGAAGCCAGTTCTTCTTCCAATATTTCTTCAATGCTCTTCCTGCCCAGCTGAAAACAGTGAAGTGAGCTGGGAACATGAAGAATCCCAGAGCCGCCTCAACCAGACCCTGAGGATAAAGACATCTCTGACGTCACAAGTGGATGATTACAAGAGGCAGCTGGATGAAGAGTCGAAGGTGTGTTTGGGTTGGGAGTGAAGGCGAGCTGCCTCCTTAAAGGATGTTATAAGGCGAAGGAGGAACATGAAAACCATTTGATGTAATAACAAGTAAAACCTTAACTACAAAACTGTAGGATGCTGTGTGTACAACTAGATGAGATTATGTATCCCTGTGGACAGTAACCAGACGAGAACAAGGAAAGCAGAATCCTGATGGTTTGGATGGTAGAATTATAAGGGTTGCTTTCCCCGCTTCACTTTCTGCCACTGTTGATTAAATGTTATGTCTTTCTAAGCAGAGGCCCTGGGGGCTGTAGAGAGACCCCCGGGGCTCTGACGGGCTTGTCCTCACAGTCTCGCAGCACTGCCACGGTGAGTCTGGCCAACACCAAGCATGACCTGGACCTGCTGAAGGAGCAGCTGGAGGAGGAGCAGGGCGGGAAGTCAGAGCTTCAGCGCCTCATGTCCAAGCTCAACACGGAGGTGACCACCTGGAGGACCAAATACAAGACTGACGCCATCCAGAGGACCAAGGAGCTAGAGGAGACCAAGTGAGCGTCACCTGGTGTTGGGCAGGCCAGGCAGGCGGGCACTGGCATCTCACCACCATGCAGGCCACTGCTGAAGCCAGGGCCAAGCCCAAGGGAAGCACGTTCATGGGATCCTCTCAGGACAGGGAAGAGTGTCCACTCAGCAGAATATCCACTGCATGCACCAGCCAGTCTTCAGTCTCCCTTTTTTAAGGACCCTCTTATCCACCTTGATGTGCCTAGGTTCTCTTCAGTGGGTCAGGAGCTGGGGCTCCACCTCCAGTCAGGGCTTCTTGATGCTGATGAGCTCAAGAAGTGTCTGCAGGCCTTGCTGAAAGGCATGAGGCCATTCAGTGGGTCTGGGGCCATGCCAGGGGAGCATGGACCATGCTCAGCAGCAAAGGCCTCGCTCTGCCAGCTTACCAGCTCTGTAGCAAACACCCAACTCCTTTGAGCTTTCCTCCACATTTGCAAATTAGGGATGCAGACCTCCTGCTTGAGGGACCTGAGGAAATGAGGCCGAGCACACCTGAATGTGGCTACCAGCCACTTTCTTGCATAAGAGGCTGCCTTGGGTGCCTGTGGCCCCTGCATCCAGGAAAGCCCTGTGTGTGAGCCCCTCTGGGCCCAGGCAAGGAAGGCGATGCCCGCCTGCTTACCTGTCCCTTCTGTGCACTGGATGTTCCAGTGACATGATAACAACAAGCACAGTGCCTTCCAGCCAACCCAACTCTTGAGCCTAAATCTGCCTTCCTGTAACTTCCACCTCCTGCCTTCTAGCTCTTCTATTGAGAGCTGCTGGGAGCTGCCTGGTCCCACCCAAAGACTCCTGCTCCTCAGCTAAACCCATTCTCACAAAATCTAAACCTCAATCCCTTGCCTGGACCCTCTTCCCCAAACACCTCCAGGTCTCTTGTCCTCCTTTCCCATGGGCCTTTGCTTATGTGTCCCCTCTCAGCCAGCCTTCCTTGACCCTTCCTTTAAATTCGCCATCACTCCCTCCCAGCCTGGACTCTCTATCCCCTTCCCTGCTTTATTTGTCTTCCTAGCACTTACCACTGTCTGATGTTCTATATGTTCTGTATTGTATGTCTTCCCTACTAGAACAGAAGTTTCCTGAGGGCAGGGCTTTTAGTCTGTTTTATTCACTGCCTAGAACAGTACTTGGCACAGAGAAGGAACAATAACACCTGATGAATGAATGAAAAAATGAATGGACTGTGCTTGCTTTCCTCTAAACACTCTCCATTTTGTTTAAATCTTTTCTAACATGACCCCAGAGCTCCATCTCATGCACGTGGCGTGGTCCATCTGTCCAGCACAGAGAGGCCCCATGCTTGGTAGCGGAGAGGCTGTGACCATGGGCTTCTGTATTTCCTTGACCATCCCTTTGGCCCTCTTCTGCAGGAGGAAGCTGGCTGCCAGGCTCCAGGAGGTGGAAGAGGCAGCTGAAACTGCCCAGGCCCGGGCCGCCTCCCTCAAGAAAAATAAGCAGAGACTCCAGGCCGAAGTCGAGGACCTCACCGTCAACTTAGGGAAGGTCAGAGGTCCAAAAGCTCAAAGGCTGCTTCTGTATTGGGGCCAAGGCTCACAGCGAGTCTGGGGGAGAGACTATCACACGGCTGGGGTAGTCAGGAAGTAACAGGTGGTCCGAGAGGGTCGAGCACAGGATTTGTATTCACAAGCCCGCTGGACACGGGCTCCTGTTTGAACATGTATTTATAAACTCTTCTGAGATCTTAAAAATCAACAAGCCACTACTTAAGGAGATCCCTGATAACAATAAAGCTTAGTTCAGGAAATCATGTAGCATTATCTTCCCTGTTCCCCATTCTCTTGCATAAACCACGTTCCACTTTGTATGGCCAAACATTCCTGTTTGCTTCCCTAGTTCAGACTGATTTTCCAGTTTCTAGCAGAACTAAATAGGAGTCCCTGGGTAGTGCAAATGGTTAATGTGCTAGGCTACTAACCGGAAGGTTGAAGATTCAAGTCAACCCCCAGGCACCTTGGAAGAAAGGCCTGGCAATCTACTTCTGAAAAATCAGCCATTAAAAACCCTATGGAGCACAGGTCTCCTCTGATACATGTGGGGTCACCATGAGTCAAAATTGACTCGATAACAACTTTTTTTTTTTTTTAGCAGAACTAAATAAAATTTACACTGGCACACAATTACCAATCTTGGTTTAGAGAGAACATTGCTTTATGCCAGCAGGGGTGGGGGCTAGGTTGCAGCTGACTCAGAGAGCGTGGCTGAATCCAGTGGCCACATAGGCATGAAGTGAAATCCACAAGAGAGACTTCAGGGAAAAAAAAGTTCTAAAACTCACAAAGGTTCCCCCCTCAAGTGAAGAAATGAGGCAAAAAATTATAAAATCTAATATTTCATGACAGCAAAAACATAGTTACTGGGGAGTTATAAACAAGATGGAAGGTCTATGAGAAAACAAAGTCTAAGAACAGTCAGCTTTGATTCACAAGAAAAATAATAACCAAACCCATCTCTGTACTGCACAGTGATATATTATCACATTATAGATAAATCAGTTGTGGGGAGTTAGGCCAAATGTCATAAATCCAGGAGGGCCGCTGTAGCCCAAACCCCTCACCTCACACCCAGGAAAATTCTAGCCTAGGAAGAGAAGGTGGATTTTGCCCAAGGCCACACACTGAGGAGAAGTTTTAGAACTGGAGCACAGCTCTTCCTGTGGTTGTGCCATAAACGTAGAATTATATCCCAAATCCCAAGAAGTCGGTGGTCACTGGAGTTACTAGGGAGGTGGAGGAAAGGAAGCGGCTTGCAGGACGGCGAGGCAAGAGACGTGGGTGGGACAGGAAAGCAGACCCAGGAGACCCTCTCCACCTCACCCCAGGCCAATGCTGCAGCCGCCGCCCTGGACAAGAAGCAGCGGTCTTCGACAAGATGCTGGCTGAGTGGCAGCAGAAGTGTGAGGAGCTGCAGGTGGAGGTGGACAGCTCGCAGGAGTGCTGCATGTACATGACGGAGAGCTTTCAAGATCAAGACCACCTACGAGGAGTCCCTGGAGCACCTGGAGTCGGTCAAGAAGGAGAACAAGACCCTGCAGAGAGAGTCTGAGTGTTCAGCACACCATGGGAAGGAGGCTTCAGCTAGAGGCTGAGTTTGGTCATGGACACAGCAAAACACTTGCATTTCTTGGACACCCTTGGTTGTAGCCAGAGATTTATACCTGCTCTGAGGTGCTGCAGGTGCCCAGGAGTTCCTTTGGGTGAGCAGCAGAGGAGTGAAGGAAGGAGATCAGAAAGTCTTCCCAGGGGTATTCTTGTGGGGTTGGTTTTGAGCCCCTGGAATGGCTGGGAAAGGAGGGCCTTAGTGTGTAGGAGAGTCCTGGGCACTGGCCCCAAAGCTGCTCCGTGCTTGCTCCCTCTTCTCTAGGCCTTAACCCCTCATCTATAAAAAGAGGAGCTTGAATCCAGTGTTCTCCAACGTCGAAGCCCTGAAAGGCCCCATAGTCTATGGTTTAGAGTAAATTGCTTCCTTTTTGATTCAAGGCTGGGTGGGTCTTAACCCCACTGAGGCATGTCTGAGCCACATGCCACGACCCTGGAAAGTTAGTGGTCCCTAGGTGTTTTATTAACCAGAATATTCCTTCCTCAGAGGAGATAAAGGACCTAATTGATCAGCTGGGCGAGGGAGGACGGAGTGTGCATGAGCTGCAGAAGTTGAAGAAAAAACTGGAGAATGAGAAGGAAGAACTCCAGGTGGCTCCGGAGGAAGCGGAGTCTTCCCTGGAGGTAACCACACGGCCGTTGTTTTGGGTGCTGGACCCCCGTCCAGGGACCGTAGACCTGATGTTTATATTCCTGGCAGGTTGAAGACAGCAAGGTGATTCGAATTCAGCTGGAACTGGCTCAGGTGAAAGCTAACATTGACCAGAGAATCCATGAGAAAGAAGAGGAATTTGAAGCTACAAGGTACGGGGGCTGAAGGGATAGGGGGTTGCATGATGGAGTAGAGTCAGGAAACCTGGGTCTCTGCCACCTACTAGTCATGTGACCTTGTGCAATTTAGGTGAACCTCTTTAAACCTCAGTTTCCTCATCTGTAAAATGGGAACAACGATAGCAACTTACACTGATGTGGCACTCTATGGTTTACAAATACTTTTGAGATTCAGTATTTCAGTGAACTGTCACAAAACCCCATGACATAGGTGCAATTATCCCATCTAACAGATGGGAAAGATGACAGCTTCTTCATGATCTCTCCAGAATGTGGTGAAGACTAAATGAGATTGTAGGTAGGAAAGCACATTGTAGCCTGCAAAGCAATACAGATACATCACCATTGATGTTAACAAACTCTTAGAAAACATCCACGTACTTCACGAAAAAATTGGTTTGTTGTAGTGCTAAGGAGTGGGAGTGCTGGATTTGAAGGGTTTTTTTGTTTTTGTTTTTTAATTCAGTGACCAAATTTCAAGAAAACTTTGGACTCACTCCTAGGTTTTAGTTTACAGAAATGCGATTTGTTGTGATTCTCCGCAGACCGACACATTTGCAACTGTCCGCTTTGGCACCCTGCCTAACCTGCCTGCTGGCAGCAGACGATCCTCCTGACATCCTGTCACTCTTGATTTTATGTCCTGCACAAAACCTCCTTCTAGGAGGGTCGTAGCCATAGCCACCGGGAGGGCAACCCTGGCCCTCACCCTAAATTTCTGGCGATGCCAATATGTGGCTTGTCGGGGCGGGGGGGTTGTTGTTTTTTTCTTTTTTTTGTAAGAGCTTTATTGAGATATAAATCACATACCATGCAATTCACATATTTTAAGAGGATGATTCAATGGTTTTTAGTATATGCAACCATCGCTACAATCAGTGTTAGAACATTTTCATTACCCACAAAAGCAGCTCTCCCCATTTCTTCCATCTCCCCCAGCTCTAAGCAACCACTAATCTACGTTCTGTCTCTATGGATTTGTCTATTCTGGGCATTTCATATAAATAGAATCATACAATATGTGGTCTTTTGGGAATGGCTTCTTTCACTTAGCATAATGTTTTCAAGGTTCAGCCATGTTGTAACATGTATCGGTACTTTATTCCTTTTTATGGCTGAATAATTCCACTGTATGGATATAGCACATTTTGTTTATCCATCAGTTGATGGACATTTGGGTTGTTTCCACTTTTGGACTATTATGAATAATGCAGCTATATGCATTCATGTAGAGCCCTAGTGGTGCAGTGGTTAAGAGCTTGGCTGCTAACCAAAAAGTAAGCAGTTGAAATCCACCAGCCACTCCTTGGAAACCCTGTGGGGCAGTTCTACTCTGCCCTATAGGGTCACTGTGAGTCAGAATCGACTCAGTAGCAATGGGTTTGGGGTTTTTTGTTCGTTTGTTTGTTTGTTTGGTTTGGTGCATTCATGTACAAGTTTTTATGTGGACATATGTTTTCATTTCTCTTGGATGTATACCTAGGAGTAGAATTTCTGGGTCATATGGTAATTCCAGGGGCCCTGGTGGCACAGTGGTTAAGAGCTCAGGCTGCTAACCAAAAGGTTGGCAGTTATGGGGCAGTTCTACTCTGTCCTATAGGGTCACTGTGAGTTGGAATTGACTTGATGGCAATGGGTTTGGTTTTTTGGTTTTATGGTAATTCTATGTTTAACTTTTTGAGAAACTGCCAGACTGTTTTCCAAAGTGGTGGCACCGTTATATTCTCACCAGCAGCATACGAGGGTTCCAATTTCTCCACCTCCTCCCAAACAGTTATTATCTGCCCTTTTAACAATAGCCATCCTAGTGGGTGTGATTTCCCTGATGGCTAATGATGCTGAGCATCTTCTTGTGCTTATTGGCCATATGTACATCTTCTTTGCAGAAATGTCTGTTCAAGTCCTTTACCTATTTTTTAAATTGGATGATTTGTCTTTTTATCTTTGAGTTGTAAGAGTTCTTTTTGTATTCTGGATCCTAGACCCTTATCAGATAAATGATTTGAAAATATTTTCTCCCATTCTGTAGGTTGTCTTTTCATTTTTTTCATGGTGTCCTTTGAAGCGCAGAAGTTTTTGTTTTTGATGTAGCCCAATTTATCTGTTTTTCTTTGGTTGCTTTGCTTTAGGTGTCATATCTAAAAAACCATTGTCTAATCCAAGGTCACAAAGATTTATCAATTGACCATAAATCTGAGGGTTTATTTGTGGACTCTCAATTCTATTCCATTGATCTGCATGTCTATCCTTATGCTGGTACACACTGTCTTGATCACTGTGGCTTTGTAGTAAGCTTTCAAACTGGGAAGGGTGAGTCCTCCAACTTTGTCTTTTTTAACGTTGTTTTGGTTATTCTAGGTCCCTTGCATTTCCATATGAATTTTAGGATCAGCTTATCAATTTCTGCAATGAAGCTAGCTGGAATTTTGATAGGAGATGTGTATAATTTGTAGATCAATTTGGGGAGTATTGCCCTCTTAGCAATATTAAGTCTTCCAGTTATGGGTGTGGAATATCTTTCTATATATTTAGATCTTCTTTAATTTCTTTCAACAATGTTTTCCAAATTTTGCTTGTATTTATTTTTTAAATCAAGGTGAATCACAATTTTATTCACTTACGAGAATGTTATGATATCTTCCCCCATATCTGCAGATTTAAGACATCTCAAGGTGCTGCACACCCAGCGACGTGCCTGTATGTGGAGGGCATTCAGGGTTGAGCTGAGGTGAACACAGTTAGGGCTGAGCATTTCTGAAAGGGCAGAAACTGTACCATGCAAAACATTTATTTTCCTCAATTCAAGAAGTGTTTATTGAACACCTAAGTTACCTCATCTGGTCTCATCCTATAAAAGGAGATTAATACAACTCATATGAGGGTTTTATGGAAGTGTTTATTATATTGATTATGATATAATTATTATATATTGAATACCTTCAATTAATAACTGTTGTTTTGAAGAGAGAAACAAATGTGACTTGTATGGCCAAAGCCCACATTGTACAATGGGAAAAACAGGGGCCTAAGCACCTCGTTTTTTTCCAATGTGGACTACACGGGGACCTTGGGCACATGTTTCAGCATCTGCAGCCTCAGTTTCCTTGCAGGGCTGTTTTGCATGTTAGATGAATTGAGATTACATAAACCAAAAAACCTTTTGCCGTTGAGTTGATTCCAACTCATAATGACCCTATAGGACAGAGTAGAACTGCCCCATAGGGTTTCCCAGGAGCAGCTGGTGGATTCAAACTGTCAACTTTTTGGTTAGCAGCCAAGCTCTTAACTGCTGCATCACCAGGGCTCCTGAGATTACACAGGACACATGGTAAATATTCAGTAGACGTTACCTTCCTTTCCTTTCCCCAAAGCACGATGCTCCCCCACTCAACCCCTTTAAGGGTTTAATTTCAGTTTGTTTAATTTCATAACATGGTGGCCATACCCACACTGACGCCCCGAGGCCTTTCACATAGAAAGGTTGCTCAGCACAGACTGAACGGCAGGCGCAGGGTGCCACGGTCTTCTTTGCTCCAACTTGCAGGAAGAACCACCAGTGGACCATCGAGTCCTTGCAGGCCAGCCTGGAGGCAGAGGCCAAGGGCTGGGCCGAGGCACTCCGACTCAAGAAGAAGATGGAAACAGACTTGGATGAGATGGAAATCCAGCTGGACCACGCCAACAAGAATAACAGCGAGCTGGTGAAGACACTGAAAAGGCTGCAGCAGCAAATCAAGGTAGCCCTCTGCGGGAGGAGGGACTAACCACAGAGCAAGCCATCCCCGAGCCTGCAGGCTTGCAGGGAGCTGGTTCCATACATGTCTGTAACACGAATGAAGGAATGAGAGCGTGAACATGAGGCGGCTGAGAGTCTGCTGGGGAAGGGACTCAGGTAGTCTATAAACGAGAGTGCCAACCACCAAAGTCCTTATCCTGGACAACGGGAAAGAAGGAAGAACAAAGGGAAACAGGAAGTGGAGCCTCAGCCATTTTTAATTTATTTTAAACTATTTCAGACATACAAAACAGAGAACATAACAAACATCCCTGTAGCCACGACTCACCCTAAGAAATCAACACAAATAGAGTTGAAGTCCCCTTTATAGCCCCATGTCGTTGCCTGTTTGTAAAGCACAGCTAGATTCATGCATTTGACACATGGTTATGGATGGCCTGCCCTGCCCTGCCCAGGGGTATGAGAGTGGACAAAACAGACAAATGCCCCTGCAGCTAGACAATAAGCAACAAATAAGTTAAACTGTAGTATTAAAAATGGTGATAAGTGCTACAGAGAAATAAGAGGGCAGGGGAAGGCGGGCAGGGAGTAATTGTCAAAGGTCATCAGGGCAGGCCTCCTTGAGAAGGCCCTGCTGGAAACACCAGGCATTCTGCCATCATGAAAGGGTTGAGCTCATGCTGACCACCCGTTGTACAAGTCCTCTGGACTCCTGGGCCCTGGCCTAGCTAGGCCATAACCAGTCAGTGAACTCTTCCTCCCAGCTCCCTGCAGAGCCTGGCCCACCATGATCAGCACACCCTCAAGCCTGGCCAGCCCCCAGGCAATCTGCTCAGGTGGGCCCTTTTGCCATCCTGCCCCACAGGACCTGCAGGTCCAGATGGATGAGGACGCCTGGCAGCATGAGGAGCTGTGGGAGCAGTAAAAACTTGCAGGAGTGGCGCCTGAGCCTGCTGCAGACGGAGCTGGAGGAGGTGCGCTCCGCCCTGGAGGGCAGCGAGCGCTCACGCAAGCTGCTGGAGCAGGAGGTGGTGGAGATCACCGGGAGGCACAACGAGCTCAATGTCCAGGTAGGACAGCAGGGCCCCCTGGCTGGTGACACACGGACTCATACTGGGGAGGCTGGGGAGAGGCTGGGATGGTACCCCAACCGCAGGGGTCCCCCTTAAAACTCAGTGGCACGCAGTGCCCCCTCCCCACCTGGCAAATCCTCAGAGCTCACCTACGGAACCTTTTTTTTTTTGAGAATATACATAGCAAAACCTACACCAATTCAACAGTTTCTGCACGTACAATTCAGTGACACTGACTACATTCAAGTTGTGCAACCATTCTCACTCTGCCTTTCTGAATTGTTCCTCCCCCAATAACATAAACTCACTGCCCTGTAAGTTTCCTATCTAATCTTTCGAGTTGCTGTTGTAATTTAGATAGTTCTTAAAATAGCACAATGCTCAAGGCAGACATTTTTGACTAGTTAAGCTAAACTATTATTTGGTTTTTTGAAGACTTCAGGAGAAATTTTTGGTTTAAGGTTTAAAGATTATGTCAAGGCAATTATTTTGGGGTTCATCCAGCCTCCATGGCTCCAGAAAGTCTGGGGTCCACAAGAATTTGAAATTCTATTCTCCTGCAGAGCTTTTAAAAGACAAAGTCCCAGGCCCTCCCCTACGGAATCTGATCCAGCGAGGTTATGGTGGGGGCCCTGAAATTGGAATTTTTAGAAACTCCACAGGGGATTCTGATGATGTAGCCAATTTTGAGAACCACCATGACCCCCAGTGTAGCTGACGATAGAACTTTAGAACTGGAAGGGAACTGGAATAGTCCATAGTCTGACATTGGTTTTACAAATGAAAAACTGTAGTCCAGAGAGTGGAGTGGCTTATCCACAGTCAGCATCTGGGACCCGCGTCTGCTGGCAGTGATGACACTAGAATTTCTTACTACTCCCAGTGCAGCCCCTCACCAGCCTCATTTCTAAAACCCTTTCTTACTTATCAACTTATGTGAATTCACCAAAAGAAAAAATATGCATGAGAGGTTTAGGGATTATACCCCCATGATATAGATAAGAAGACCGAAGCCCAGACAGTAAGGGATTTATCTGTGTAGGTGCAAGTGCCAGGGCTTGAATCTGGCTTTTCCCAGCTCTGAGTTCTGAATTGTTCCAGAGCTGCCACCCACCCCAGGCCTAAATGTTGTTATTCCAGGGCCACTCATGATGCGAACTCTGCTCTAAGTCCCAGAGAGGAATGCAGGGGAGAGACTCTCACCCCAAGCAGAGGGTCTAGGGCCATTACCTGCTGGGGAGTCTGGGAAGCGTGTCTGGGAGAGGGTTGTTTCCTTCCCTGGAAACAGGAAGGGTCATGAAGATCTCTGGCTTACATCTGTCTTTGTTGCCTCCTCCAGAACCAAAGCCTCCTTGTGGTCAAGCGCAAGCTGGAGTCTCACATCCAGCGCATCTCCAACAAACAGGAGGAGCTCATCAGTGAGTTCTGCTCAGTTGACGAGAGGGCCAAGAAAGCCATGACAGACGTAAGTGCAGGTCCTGCTGCTGCTGGTGGGTGAGGGGCCTGGGCAACTGGGCTCAGGACGCTTGCCAAGGACCAGGCCACCCTAGGCAGGGACTGCCACCTCCTCCAGGAATAAGTCATTTGGAGTCATGGTGCTCTGTTGCAGGGGGTGTGGTCCCTGCTCTGGAAGAGTCAGAAGCCTTTTCTGAGAAGCCAAACACAAGCAAGTAGGGAATGATTACAAGTTCTACAACATCAAGGAAGAGATTAGAGCAGAGGCCAGGTGACTCAGATCAAAGGAGCCATCTAAGTGGGCCTATCTGGGCAGCTTTTTGGCAAGGATGAGCATTAAACCAGACTTAAAGGAGGGGTTAGTGAAAGGGGGATGGGAGCCAGGCCTGGAGGCTCAGACACAGAGTTGCTTGACTGAGTGTTTTCACTCCAACATCCCTTTGGATCCTTGCATCAGCCTTGGGTGGTACGTACTATTTATTCCCACTTTGAAGATGAGGGAATATGATTTTTATTGTCAGCCTCCTCCCACTTGATTGAAATTCCATGAGGACAGGAACACTGTTGGTCTTATTTAGTGCTACATCCTGAGAGCATAGACTCATGCCTGGCACACAGTAGCCCCTCCGTGAATATTTGTTGAATGGATGCAAGAGTTAGGGGGTTCAGAAGGGATGAACGACTCACCAAAGGTCTCATAGGTGGGTGGATGCAGACCTAGATCTTCCAACTCCAGATCCTGTGCTTTTCCCGCCCTCTGTGCTGTGTCCCTCTTGGAGACATAGCAAAGAGCTTGGCTTGAGTGGAACAGGCTGGTGGGATTCCATGGAGTTGGGAGGCTAGGTTGTGGGTACATGAGCCTGCCCTCTCCCCTTTCACTGAGAGGGACACAGAAGCATGGGGCAGCCACCTCCATCAGACCTCGGCAGCATGTCAACCAAGGGTTCTCTCATCAACCACGTGGTTCCCCAGAGACTGGGAAGACAGGGTCCGTCCTCCCTCAAAGGTGCCATGAGCCTGGATTAGTATTAGTTACTCTATTAGTTTCCTAGGGTGGCTGTGACCAAGTACCACGACCTGGGTAGCTTAAAACAACAGAAATTTATTCCCTCACAGTTCTGGAGGCTAGAAGTTCAAATTCAGTGTGCCAGCAGGGCCGTGTTCTCTGTGAAGGCTCTAGAGGAAAAATCCTTCTTTGTCTCTTCCAGCTTCCAATAGCCCCAGGCATTCCTTGGCTTGTGGCAGCATCACTCCAATTTCTGCCTCTGTCTTCGTATGGCCATTCCCCCTGTGTGCTTGTCTCTCTCTCTGTCTCTTCCTTTTTTAACAAAGACACTAGCTGTATTGGATTAGGGCCCACCCTACTCCGGTATGACTTCATATTAACTAATTATATCTGCAAAGTCCCTATTTCCAAATAAGGTCACATTTACAGGTACCAGAGGTTAGGACTTGAACATTTCTTTTTGGGGGGACATAAATCAACCCATAACAGCTACCCAGCTGCAACTCACACTCGTCTCCTTCCCCAGGCTACCCGCATGGCAGAAGAACTCCGGCAAGAGCAGGACCACTGCATGCACCTGGAGAAAATCAAGAAGAACTATGAGGCCAACATCAAAGACTTGCAGGCCAAGATGGAGGAGACCGAGCAGCTGGCTCTGAAAGGAGGGAAGCGTACAATCCTGAAGCTGGAGGCCAGGGTGAGGGCAAAGCTGAGCTAAGCCATGGAAGAGAAAGGGAGATGAGGCCAGGGCTGCATGTCTTTTGCCAAAATTGTGCCCTGCATTTCACAAGGGGCTGGGCTATGCAAATATTAGGAAAGAAAAGGAAATTAAGAAACAGCTCTAATTTATTTATCCAAAGGTCTCTCCTCCTCTTTCTCTCCCAGTCACCTTTCTCCCTAGAATGTCCAAAGCAGAACAGTGGCTTCTATCATTAATTCTTACAGATGAGTCTCTGCACACAACATTATTCCTGTCTGTTATTACTCACTTAAAGAAAACAAGCCTTCATCATATTATCACAGAATGTCAGAGCCAAAAGTTTCCAGAAATTTCCGTCACCTGGTCCAACCTCCTGTCTCTCTCCATTTCCCAGAGGCGGAAGCTTAAGGCTCAGGGGAAAGTGACTGTCTGACAACCACAACAGGACCCGCAAAAGGCAGAGCCTGTCCAGGGCTCTGCTCGCTCACTCCTGGGCAGGAAGTAGACCCTGTAGTGACAACACCCTCATCCAAGCCCACCGTGCTTAGAAGTTCCAAAGCACAAGCTCACTCAGCTGTATTCTCCTTTTCCTCCCTCAGATCAAGGAATTAGAGACAGAGCTGGACGGTGAGCAGAAACAGCACACGGAGACAGTCAAGACGCTGAGCAAGAATGAGCGCCGCCTCAAGGAGCTGGTCTTCCAGATGGAGGAGGACCACAAGACCAACCAGCGCATGCAGGAGCTGGTGGAGAAGCTGCAGAACAAGCTGAAGGTCTACAAGCGGCAGATTGAGGAGGTGGTGGGTGCTTGCCATGTGGCCCTGTCCCTCCCCCTTCCTTTTGCTTCCCAGCCCAGGTCTCGAGCCTTGATTAGGATTAACTGCAGGGAAGGAAATCAACTATTGGCCAAAATATGACTCCTGTGAGCCTGGCGTCCATGGTACTTTGTCATTGCTATGTGAGTGTGGGAAGTGGACCAAACACTCCACACTGGAGATAAGAAAATGTAAAAAACAGAACCATCCCCTAAGAACTCCCACATTAACTGAAGTCACTACTGTAGGGTATGATCTAAGCCCCATAGAAGGTCTTTGTTACCTTTGTCCTGTTTCACTGACTCTCTTGGCCTGTAGCAAGGATAATCTCTCCTTCCTGGTTGTACTCTTTACCAAGGACCTTCACTTGTTTGATCCTCCCAACTCTGGGGCAGGAAGGTTGATAATATTAATTCATTTCACAGGTGAGGTGCACACCCAGAGTGTGGTACTGCTACATTATGTTAGTAGATGTCAAAGTCAAAGTTAGATTGTTAGCAAATGGTGGTTTCAAGTTTCAGCCCTACACCCACAGGTCCACCTGCCTCCCAGGACATAAATACTTGACTCCGTCACCATTTGCTGCTGGTTCTGGGGCTACCACATTGAATCCGTAGGCACTAACGTACCCAATACCCTGCCCAAAGGGCTCAATAAAGGCCAGACTTACAGTAAATATTGCTGTAACCAAAATTACACCACAACTACTGTTGATTCTCATTATCTGTGGTAGTTATGTTCTATAAGGTCGCTGCAAATGCTGAATTAGCAAACATTAAACCACTGTTGCTAGAGGAAATACAAGGTTGGATCCTGCAAGCCTCTGGTCACAACATTTTCATCGATCAATTGTCTTTTATGTGTCTCTATTTGAAGACACCTTATTTAATATACATTCTCAATTCGTTAACATTGAACTCACAGCCAACAGTACTATAACTCATGCCTGAACAAAGCTTATCTAACATACATATTCTCTCAGTAAGGCACATCACAGCTTTCTTGGGCTTAGGAACAGCACTTCATCACTATGCTTGGGGATCATCTTAAACAGCTAAATCACCAAAAAAAGCACAAAAATGTGAAAAACATGGCACTAAATAGATCACAAAAAGGACACTTGTTTACAGTGTGAGAGCTAAAACAAGAAGGCAGAGCATTGCTTGACCTCAGCTGGGAACATGCATGTCCAGAGACAAACTTTTCACTGCTCTGCACATGTCCATGAATGACGCCACATATATCGATTTTGGGGTTACAGATACATTTTAGTGAGTAAACAAATTTGCAAATATGAAATCCGTGAATAATGAAAATCGACTGTATTTTGAGGGGGTGGGAAATGTGTGGTGGGATTAGGGGAGGCACTAAATCCTAATCTTCCATAGTGGGGCACCAAAAGATAATGCCTAAAACTACAAAGTGCAGGAGGAGCAACAGAAACACATTTTATTTAGAAATGGATGTCAAGGCCAAGAAGAATCAGCTAAAAGTGTCGAAAGCAGTTGTTCCCAGGGAGCAAGAAGATGCCTCCCAGGACTTCTGTGTTTTACGTGTGTCTGTTTTATTTTATTTTATTTTATTTTATACAGACTTTGTTTTTTAGAGCAGTTTGGAGCTACAGAAAAACTGTGCAGAAAGTACAGAGAGTTGCCATATACTCCCCTCTCCTCCCTGGACACAGTTTCTCCGACTGCCTGTGTTTTGTATAGGACTTCAAACCGGTTCAGTCATGGCCAATCAAGTGAAATCAAAACAGACCCAAATTTTTAAAATTTGCGCGAAGCAGAACGGTAAACTGAACGGGAAAAATTACGGGTTGAAGCCCTGGAATGGGAGACTCCGAGCAGGCATAGTGAGTCCTTTCAGGAGCCTGATTTGTGATACTGGATTATGGCCAGCACTGAGAAGAGTGACACACATTGAAGGCAGCACAGTCAGCCACCATCTTTGAGTGGGCCATCACTGTTTCCAACTCTGCAGGTCAAGAGATTTGGTTGCTATGCAATGTGCATGCTGCCCTTGTTTTCTAAGAAGGAGATTAAGTTTCTAGCAGGGCTTCAACCTGTAATTTTTCCCATTCCACCTATTGTTCTGCTTTACCCACATTTTAAAAATTTGGATCCATTCAGGTTCCCATTGTCAGCCATAGCTAAGCCAGGCAGAACAGGTTCAAAGCCTTGGTTTTGTAGCAAGCCTTACTGGACTCTTTATACGTTCATGTGTAACTTTAAAAAGAGCCAGCCAGGTTTACGCCCATTTTCCACCATGCCCTTTTCACAGGAGGAGCAGGCCAACCAGACCCTGGCAAGATACAGGAAGACAGTGCACGAACTGGATGATGCTGAGGAGCGGGCAGGAACGGCAGAGACCACGCTGAACACGCTGCGCACCAGACACCGCATGGCCAGCAAAGGCATCACCTCTGTGGAGATCATCCAGGTGTCCAAGGCAGGCTCCTCCAAAACCCTTTCTGAGGAGTGAGGCCCATGTCCTCTGCCACAGCCGGTAGGTGTGGACTCCACTCTCTTCCCCACACTCCAAGCACACCTTCCCTGCACCTGCTTTGCTCCTTCCCACTTCTCTGCCCTGATCCACATCCTGATCTGCTGCAATGGAAATCCCAAAGCTGCCCTCATCTATTCAGCTGCAACACTCCCTCTGTGGATTCTTACAGCCCTCAGGCATGATACTGTCCACCTGCATCACAGGTGGTGGTGGTCATGATATTCTCCCTTCCAATTGGGAGCTCTCTGAAGGCAGGTTCCATGTCTGATACTGCTTGACACCTCCCGCCCCAACACTAGGCCTGGCAAATAGGTGCTTAGTACATGTTTGTTTTCATTGGAGAACTATAGGGACATAGGCAAGCTTATAGACAGTGAGTATATTCATCTTTCATATCCCCCACAATACCATTATCCATTGAGGATTCCACTAACACTGGTTGAATTTAGGTTTCTAATGTTGTCATTGTTAGTTGCCATTGAATTGACTCCAACTCCTGGTGATCTTATGTATAACAGAACAAAACATTGTCCGATCCTGCTCCATCTTCATAATCATTGGTACGTTTGAGTCCATTGTTATGGCTATTGTGTTCATCTGTTTCACCGAGGATTTCCTTTGTTTCTACTGACCCTCTACTTTACCAAACTTGATGTGTTTTTCTAGCGATTTGTCTTTCCTGATGATGTGTCCAAAGTAAGCAAGTCAAAGTCTCACCATCCTTGCTTCTAAGGAGCATTTTGGTTGTATTTCTTCTAAGACTGATAATAATAGCAGCTACCATTTATTGAGCACTAAGTGCAGGGGGGATTTAAAATAGTCCTTTCTTACTCCCCTTAGTTCAGAACCATTTGGAAAAAAATACAGGAGGACCAGCCAGAACTCATCAGCTCCGCAGGTAGATCTAAAAGGAGGCCAGAAGGGGCTCTGCCCTACCTTCCTTGTTCCTTCTTTAAAACAGAGTAAGTCATTCTTCCTCCATGAGAGGAGAGGTGAGGAGAGAGGCACAGAATATGATTCTAGAGCAGTGGTTCCCAAAATGTGGTCCCCAGGACAAGCAACATCAGCATCACCTGGGAACTTCTTAGAAATGCAAATTATTAGGACCTACGGGATGAGAAGCTCTGGGGGTGGGCCGGAATCTGAGGTTTAATAAGCCCTCCAGGTAATTCAGATGCAGGATCAAGTGTGAGAACCATTGCTGTAGTAGAAATCTCTCTTTCCAGAAATATGATACCAGGGAACAGAGATTTCTCCAGCTTTTACAAGGGCCAGGCACTGCACGTGGTAAATGCTTTTCACTCTCTTATATACCCTATCCTCATCTGTCAGGTGAGGAAAATGAGCTCAGAGAAGTTCAGTGGCTTGTTAAGGTCACACAAGCCTCAAGCTATTAAAAGGCAATCCCCCGTTTATAATTACTGTGGAGACGGATATGGTTGTCCTCTGTCCTCTGTCTGGGATTAACCAGGACAGCTCAGCCTCAGAGATGTGGCTCGGGCGGACCCTAGGTGCCATTGTCTGACCTCACGGACTCTGGGAATTATTTCCAGTCTCATGTTCAAGCATGTGATTGCATCAGCCCGTGGTGAGGGTGAGGTGCCCCCCCGCCCCCCCGCAACACTTGCAGCTCCCTGTGGGGACTGGAGGTCAGTTCGGGTTTTAGTCAGAAGTGATAACCCCAGTGACCTTTGAATTTAAGCTGAGCCTTATCTTACCATTTGCAAAAGAAGGAAAAAAATGGGACACCTAATCGTTTTCTTCATTCTCCAACTCTTATATAAAGTTTATCGCAGGAAGTTAAGGAAGTCAGAGGCTTGCCTCTAGATGAGTACTATGATCAATATGTAACTATCTCCTTTGCGAGTCCCTTGGTGGTGCAAACAGTTAATGCACTCGGTTGCTAACTGAAAGGTTGGAGGTTCAAGTCCACCCAGAGGCACCTCGGAAGAAAGGCCTGGCAATCTGCTTCTGAGAAATCAGCTATTGAAACTCTATGGAGAGCAGTTCTACTCTGACACACACGGGGTCACCGTGAGTCAGAGTGACTCGACAGCAACTACTTTGTTTTTTTGTTTGCTTGTTCATAGCAGTTGACACTGCCATGACATCCAAGTGCATCATCAGTGTATTTTACCAAAGTATGGGTTTCCTACAGATTAGAAATTACAAAGAATAAATAAAGCAGATCCTTCACCAGGCAGAGAAGGACAGAAGGGAATTCCAGACACATGCAAAAGTGAAGAGATGGGAGGTGCACAGGGTTCAGCATGATTGGAGCACAGGGGCTCCGGAGGAGGCAGGAGAGCTGGACAGTGAGGGAGAAGAGATGAGCGGGGTCGGCAGAGGTGAGGCTGTGAAGACGTGAGGCTGTCCATTGGGTGCAAGAATTCAGTAGTCTTCATAAAGTAATCTTGCTAATTTTTAAAATCTATTTGTGAGTGTGATGAGCTCTAGTTTTTCTTTCTTGTGAAAATGCTCACATCACAATAGCAAAGCAAGCCTTTTTGTCCTTCATGAGACACCACAGGCAGGCTCACGGCAAGCCCTGTGTCCCAGCGGGTCACACTCTGGCCCCTGGACAGCATGTGTAGAGTTCAGCCTACTCGGGCATGTTAAGCCCAAACAAGGGGTCCCAAAACCTTCATAACCTCATGCAGAGCAAGCCAGGTATGATTTAAGGGCGTTGGTTACAAGGACGGAAATCTGTGCAGAAGTGGCCTAGGCACCTCGGGGAGGGAGCTGTCTTTGTAGAAAGAAGGGTGCAAAGGTGTCAGAAATCTCAGTTCTTGAATGGTTGCACAACTTGAAGAAAGTAATCAATGTCACTGAATTATACATGTAGAAATTGTTGTACTGGCATATGTTTTGTGGTATATATTTTCACAATAAATTTTTTTTAAATTTTTCTTTATTGTACTTTTGATGAAGGTTTACAGAGCAAACTAGTTTCTCATTAAACAATTAATACACATATTGTTTTGTGACATTGGTTGCCAACCCCACGACATGTCAACACTCTCTCCTTCTCAACCTTGGGCTCCCCATTACCAGCCTTCCTGCCCCTCCTGCCTTCTAGTCCTTGAACCTGGGCTGGTGTGCCCATTTAGTTTTGTTTTGTTTTGTGGGTCTGTCTAATCTTTGACTGAAGGGTGAACCTCAGGAGTGACTTCATTACTGAGCTAAAAGCGTGTCTGGGGGCCATACTCTCAGGCTTTCTCCAGTCTCTGTCAGACCAGTAAGTCTGGTCTTTTTTTTTTTTTTTTTAATGAATTATATTTTTGTTCTACATTTTTCATCCAGCTGTGTCCGAGACCCTCTATTGTGATCCCTGTTAGAGCAGTTGGTGGTGGATAGCTGGGCACCCCCTAGTTGTCATGGACTCAGTCTGATGGAGGTCCACAATAAAATTTTAAAAATTAAAAAAAATAAAAAAGAAATCTCAGCTCTTACCCACATGGACTTCCTTTTTTTCTCTCTGTATGTCTCTCTCTCCTTCCAAGGTGATACAGATCTGAACAGCAGCCCATTGAGAGGAAGATAATGTGAAAATGGAAAACTGGGTCTACCCGAGGAATGTTTACTATGTAAAGGAAAGTGTGAGACAGAAAGAGACAGGCACCGAAGAAGGAAGAGAGCTATGTGGGAAGATGAGCTTGGGGGTGTAACTATGCAGTCATTAGAGGGCTTTTCTGAGGCAGCATCAAGCTGTGTATGCATTTGGATGACAGTGGCAATGGGTCTGTTTTAGCTGAGATCCTACATGTTCATGTCAAGAACGGAATACGTAATGTCTGTGTGACCTGGCTGTTCTCTAGAAATAATCCCTCGTGTGGACAATTTTAATGTTTTGCCCAATGGAACTAAAATAAAAGTAACGTGAAAAATAGACCTGACTGGGGATGGAGTTTGTTTTTAACTGCAGGATTTAATTTTTCTGAGACTTTCAAATCCAAAGGCAATTTTTATAATTACAATATATCAGAGTTTCTTTGTATCCTTAGGTCCTAATTCATAGTACATGTTTCTATTAGAAACTGTGAAAACTATGCAGTCTTGGTGAGGTTCTTTGCAATTTTTGAAAGAGTCTGTATTAGTTTCCTCAGGCTACCATAACAAAATACAGAAATTTGCTGTTTCACGGTTCTGGAGGCAAGGAGTCCAAATTCAGGGTGTTGGCAGGGCTATCTTCTCTCCGAAAGCTCTAGGGGAAGATCTGTCTTGTCTCCTCTGGCTTCTGGTAGCCCCAGGTGTTCCTTGGCGTTCTTAGGTTTGTAGCTGCATCTTTATCTGTATGTCTTTCTGTGTCTCTTCTCCTTTATAAGAACATCACTCAGATGGGTTAGGACCTACCCTACTCCTGTATGGCCTCATGTTAACTTAACTGATAACATCTTCAAAGATCCTGTTTCCAAAGAAGGTCACATTCACAGGTACTAGGGCTTAGGGCTTCAACATATCTTTTGGGGGACACCATTCAAACCATAACAGGTTTATCAGAGAAATGAAGACAACCTAGACTTCCTAAAGCTGAGAGTTACGGAATCATAGACTCTCAGGTCAGAAGGGATGCTAAGACATGTCCAGGCTAACGTCTCATGTGGCTCACATCTCTGCCTCAGTGTCTCCCAGGATTTCAGATACAGGCACGTCAGCTCTGTAAGGCCAGGCTGTTTTGTGTGTTCTGTTCACTGCTGTATCCTCAGCTCCTAGAGAGAGCGAGGCCTGAAGTGAGCATGTGATAAATGTCTGTAGAGTGAATGAATGATGGAGAACATACTGTCTCCTAAGGTAGTCCTTCCTCGCTTTGACAGGAAGTTTTTCCATAAATCAAGCTGAGACCTGCCCCCTGGTGGTGTCTACTTGCTGACCCTGGTTTTGATACCCAGCGCCATGGAAGACAGTTCTCATAGTCCCTCTACGATTTCTCTTCTCCAGGCTGAATATCCCCAGGTCCTTTAACCCTCCCTTATGTG